CTCCTTTTTTTTTAAATATTGTTTATTCTTTTATTTCAAAATTAAATAAAAAAATAATGACCACAAGCAAAGTCACCTCTACTACGTAGAAATAAAGTTGATCTTGATATGGCGTCTCCCGTACAAGTAAATTTATATTGCCTCCTATTGCTCGATTTGAGCAATAGGAGGCAAGTGGCACTTTTTGATCGAATCGAAAATCGAATCCGTTGTAACTCCATACTAAGCTCCATACAAAGAAGAGGCCTTTCGACCATCTTTGACATTATTAAAACAGTCACATTTTGCCAGTTTTCTAGGGGGGCTGTTGTAATGAATTTTATGTCTAATGCAAATGCACAGAAATAGCGCAATAAATAAAATTCTAAAAAAAAGAAAAGTAGAAAGCAGTTTAAAAACCCGGGCCCCCATTACGCTAAAAAATTTCATCTTCAACGTGCCCGGACGTCAGCTGTTTTGAGAAATCCGTATCGCAGAATCGAAGAAATCGAAGAAGCGCGTCTGTATTGGAGATTTGAAAACCGGCCAAGTGCGAGTCCGACTCGCGCACCGAGGGTTCCGTACCATTGATTTATGAAATTAAAATTATTATTTTTTATTTAAGTTTCTAGTATGAAAGATTACGCGGTAATAAGCGGTTTACGATTTACGAGGTATTAAAAAAAAAACTACTTACTAGATCTCGTTCAAAACAATTTTCGTTGGTAGTTTTTATAGTAATGTACATCATATGTTTTTTTTAGATTTTTCATTTTCTTATTTTAGAAATTAGAGGGGGGGGACAAACTTTTTTCCACTTTGGAAGCGTCTGTCACGCAAACTATTCGGTTTAGAAAAAAAAGTATTTTAGAAACCTCGATATCATGTTTAAAGACCTATCCATAGACACCCCACACGTATGTGTTTGATGAAAAAAAAATTTTTGAGTTTCAGGTCTAAGTATGGGGAGCCCCCAATATTTATTATTATTTTTTATTTATTTTTGCATCAAAATCTTAATGTGGTTCACAGAATACATTAACTTACCAAGTTTCAACAGTATAGCTCTTATAGTTTCGGAAAAAAATGGCTGTGACATACGGATGGACAGACGGACGGACGGGACGGACGGACAGACAGACAGACATGACGAATCAATAAGGGTTCCGTTTTTTGACATTTGGCTACGGAACCCTAAAAATTAGCGTAATCGGGGCACCGGTCAAGTGCGAGTTGGACTCATGCATGCACCCATAGCATGCACCGACAGTTCCATAGAAACAAAAACAATACTGTCAACATTAAACAAAATTACTTACAAAAATGTTGAATGTTGACATGATTGTGTTATTTGTGTAGGGCAAAATACGCGCTTGAGACTTGCCTTAAAACCAGTATAATTATAATAGGCTTTATTACCGTTCTCGGGCAGTGGGTACTACTGATTGGCCAGTATCAAATAATAAAGAAACAATATTGCGCGAGTAGTACTGTTCCGGCTGATCATAATTTTCAATAAATTTGAATAAAATATAAAATTGTACTTATTATAAAAAAAACGTAGTATTTTAGTGCTTCATCTATATCCACCATCTTTGAACGTGACACACAAAACCAAAGACTATAGACCATTGATGCAAAATTTCAATTTCGAGTGACAAACTCGTAATGAATTTTATCCAAAAAATACTAAGGAAACCCATGTCATCTGTGAATGATAATTCAAAATAGATGTGTATTTTTCAATATCCTAACTAGATTTTGTAATATTTTCTTTTCCAGCCTAAAATAAGTGTAAATTTGTCCGACGGACGCTCCTACCTTTATTGCTCGACGCTTGGTCCGCCATGTCTATGTTCGGCTGCGTCTTTGTAATTCGCGTTGTGCTGTTCTTTATTGTTTAAAAAAGACAGTGGTATTGTAGTTTTTGAACAATGAATTTATAGGAACTTTAATTAATTATGGACTTACAAAATGTGTGGAGTGTTTAATGTATCTGAGCAAATCGATAGAATTTGCCTTTGAAGAAGGCACTCCAACATCCTCAACGTCGTATTTTTAGTTCATCCGCCATATTGGCGTTAATATCTTTTCGTAAGTCTTTTTTTGATAATTTTTAGCTTTAAAAGTAGTGTAGCGTAACTTTTTCGTGTAATTTTAGTTGCCCATTATAAGGGGCTTTATTGTAATTAAAAAAATGTGTGCATGATGCGATGTATGAGCATAATTTCAACATTGTTCTTGGCCTCCTTAGACCCAAGTAATTTTCACCCATTTCTTTATATTGGTTTGAGTTAATTCCTCGATTTGGTTGTATCTATTCAGCTGTAATTGTGTTCTTAGTAGTATCCGCGTTATTTGGAATGTTTTGTTCAGAGTCTGAATGGATGGAAGTGCATTTATTTTTGTAACTGTTTGTAGAACGACTTTCCATTATTTTAATTTTGTACAATACATATTTTCGTAGCAGATATTATATCGAAATATAATTTATTTGCTTGTTTCAAATTTTAAGCGTTTTATTCATATAATTCCTTAAGATCACCTACTTTCTGGATAGGGATTTGCATCTGAAGATTGTGGCCTACAGAACATTCTAGACTTTCCAAATACACTCTTTCACCATTATTACTACAATGTCTGTTGAAAACATTTATTGTCTCTCATTAAAGTCCAAAAATGTGTATTTGTTTACTTAGACTACCAGAATGTTTAGAACCTGACATTTTGGTAATATAAACTTGCTTTATAATTATTTAATGTTCTAGGTTTGCTTTTAAATGACTAAAACTGGAATTGCATTGGTTTGGGAATAGATAAATGCATGTTTACCTTTGACATTAGTAATGTTAACTTTAATCAAGGTTTTGGGTTTTATAATTAAATGTTGCCTAATAATAGTGTAAACGCAACAACATAATTTAAAAAGCCAACATTTTTAATGAAATTATTAAATGTTAACGTTAAAATACAGACATTCAAAATATTGTGTAATAACCAATGTTAAACATCAATCATGTTAAAAATGGTTAAAATTTTTACAAGATGTCCTTCATATAACAACTTTCAATGTCTTAGGATATGTAAATTGTTTGGGGTAGGTAGGTACTCAAACATTGTTGATTAACAATAAATTGATTTTAGAGATAGTGAGAGAGAAGGCTATTTTGAGGAATTATTTCATTAGAACTAAACATATTCCCTATATAACAATGAAATCTGCCTAAATTGTGGACCAATTAATGAAAGCTATTGAATACCTCCTGTCCAAATTAGGAGGAAATTAGGCTTCGAACGTTAACTGGATGTGGTGTTGGAGGACCATTTGATATTGAATGAGTGTAGTGATAAATTTAAAAAGTCTGAAATTCCAACTGGTCCCGACAAAGCCTTGATTTAGCAATTTTTCAACTTTGCTGTATTTCCTTCCTTCCTAATTAAAAAAAAACGTATTTGGTAATGCAGATTATTTATATTAGATGAATTGATAATGAAATTATTTCATTTAGATATACAATACAGTAGAATCCCGATTATCCGGATCAATTAAAACCAGGGGTGTTCCGGATAATCGAAAATCCGGATAATCGATTTAAAAGTAAAATCAAACAATAATTTACTTTTTACAGTAGAAAGGGTTTTCAATACATCATTTTAGACCATTGGATGAATCCATTTCATATATCAGTGAACCAAGACTACGTCTGTACCTTGTTACGGTGGCAGCGCTTTGCCGTTTTGATGGGTCCAGATCCTAAATCGGTAATAAGGACCGTGAAGATCGAGTCCGGATAATCGGATATCCGGATAATCGAAGTCCAGATAATCGAGATTCTACTGTATTAAGATCTCAAATACTTTTTTTACATAGAAGAAAACCACCTCTTTTCTTTCCCACATCAAAAAGTAGCTACGTTAATTTAAATTAATTTTTTGAATAAATATGGATCCAAATTCATAAGGTAATTGCACAATATAATGCAATTTACATACTAAATTAGACTAAGTAGTTTCAATGTGTTCAAACTGTGCATTATTCAGTGGTGGATTTACCAATAGGGCCAAATATTAGAAAAATATTCATAATATTGAGATGTACACTGGCATCAAATGTGTAAATCTGCTACTGTTCTTATAGTTATCACTACTAGCTGATACTGAACTTGGGCATGGGCATGATGTAAAAATATTTATTTAAACAATTTAGGTACACTCTACAAAATATCTGACAATGAATTTTTGTTGCAAAACAACACTTATTGCATCTAATTAAGATGTCGTAGTGAGCTGCATACTGTAGACAGTAAATAAAAAAATATTTCATTGTAGTATTGCTAAAACATACATAAATTCGACAATGAGACTGGAAGTTCTGTCCCAATGTATCCCCAGTTGTGCCAATGTAATACCAATTTGACCATAACAAAATGTGTTTTAGGGACTGGTAAATAGGCCACAAAATTCCATGTTTCCATGATAACATTAATATTGCATTGACGCACGAAAGAACAGTCTTATGTTTTGTTTTGGTATTCGACCTTGAGTCCATAGTCGGTTCCTGGGGTACCAATGTGAAAGGTTTATACATTAATTTACAACTGAATATAAATTATTCACTTCTGCAGCATGATGTTGGTTATACAATAAAAATTCAGTTTATTCATGTAAAGTTATTTTATTTTCAGATTGTGACGCACGTTTTTGGTGGCGGTTAGGTGCTTAAAAATCCAATCCTACCCTGCTTGCAAGGTATGTAGCATTGAATGAAATCAAATAATCATATTTTTGTTTGCATAGGTAGGTATTTTTTGTCTATTATTATTTCTGTGATGGTCTATTGAAACTATTTTTGTAAGTTGAGGCAGAAGATAAAATCAACCCAAAACTAATATTGTACATTTTGTGTTCATTGCAGGTAGGAGATATCTAGTATATGAATGCGATGAGTTTACTCTAGGTGCATCAGCACCATTTTTTTTTATTATGATAGTGCTGTTTAATGTCATCAGGGGATTTAGCTGATGCCTCTTAGTCAGAAATTGGATGAGCCTCTTGTCACAGTTGAGGTGAGACAATTGCCAACATTTTCCTAAAGTTGTTCTGCTTTGTAAGTGCCTTCTACAGTTGTTGTGTCACTTTGGCAGGTAGATTGCTGATTCCAGCACAATGCAGCAGGCAGTTGATCCTCTTGCTACGACGAGCACGGTATGTAGATTATTTTTCACCTCGGCCAGTTCAGTTAACGTTTTCAGACTACTGAGCTTGAAATCAGCACCTTATGTGCTCTTACATTTGAGTACATTTTCGTTAATTCGTTGTAGCCAACGGCGGAGCACGTCAATGGCGCGCCGCCAGAGGAGGGCCTCCGGCGGCAAGGGCGGGTGACCAATCAGTTGCAGTTCCTCCAAAAGAACGTCATGAAAGCAGTGTGGAAACATAAGCTAGCATGGCCTTTTCAACAACCTGTCGATGCAAAAAAATTAAATCTTCCGGTAAGTGGTCATAAAAGAAATAGTTACATGATTCTGTGTACTTCATACAGGAATGGAAAACTACAATAAATCATTTATACCTTCACAGGACTACCACAAAATTATAAAAAAGCCAATGGATTTAGGAACAATCAAAAAGCGCCTCGAGTCAAATTACTACTATTCAGCTCAGGAATGTATCCAAGACTTCAACACCATGTTCACAAACTGCTATGTATATAATAAGCCTGGCGAAGATGTAGTAATAATGGCGCAGACATTAGAAAAACTTTTTTTGAATAGGGTAAGTGTGAAATTTATCAATTTCTTATATTAAAATATATTTTACACTGCATCATCTAGTCCTAAACTAAGTAAAGATTGTACTATGATTGTCATTTAAACATACGTAAATACTTGTATTTTGTAAATACATTTATAGAACACTACATTGTTCAGCATACAAACATTTGTCAGGCATAGAAGTCCGAATCGCGAACCACTAGCCCAGACGACCATCGCGTCTCCAGTGATAGCGTAGTGAGATCAGGCCCCTCTTTCCCTGTTCTCATAAAAGATCTTTCTCCTGATGAGAAGGGCCTCCCTTGATCCTTATGTCCTGTAGGCCTAAGACGCCCGCCGTGATAACTTTCGAACTATCGACGTCAAAATGTATGGACAAAATCGATAAAATGGCGTGATAACCGCTTATCGCGGCGCGCATCTTAGGCCTACAGGGCACCTTGCGGCCCTGGACCTAAGTCACTACAAAGTATACGCGAGCAGTACGCAGTACATGCGTACTGCTTATGTATGGTTTGGAAGAGCTTAGTAAAAAAGTCATTTCCAAACTATACTCGATTACATACTTTCACACCCTTGCGTTCTGGCTATGTATAGAATGGAAAGACGCTACTGTGAGATATCAAACTTATTGTGATTGAACATTGTAGATAGCACAAATGGAAAAGGAAGAGAAAGAGGTGGAAATGCCGTCTAAAGGCGGCAAGGGTGGTGCTAAGAAGCGCACGAGCACGACCGGCGCCCCCCCCGCGGCGGCGGCGCCGGGCGCCCCCCCTCGCGCGCCCGTCAAGACGCTGGCCGCGCCGCCGCACACCGCGCTCTTCGGGAACACCACCGCCGCGCCCACCGTGCCCGCGCCCGCCGCCACGCCCCCCGCCACACACACCGGTCTGCCACAGCAGGTAAACAACTAAAGTTTACCTTTAAAGTTTGTCTAAATTGTATGCTCTTTGAGCGGAACATAGTGATACTACCTACTGTAACATGTCACCATTTTACCTTTGATTCACAATAAATAATTTTTGTATTTGTAAAGCCCGGTAGGCCAGCTTCAAAAAAAAAAATTTTTTAGTCCGACAATTTTAATATCAAAAATTATTGGACACGTATATTTTTAATTGTCAATCAAACATAATTAAAAAGTTATAGTGCGTTGAAGTTCCGCGCGACGTCATGCTGCACTTTTAAGCACTCACTGACGTCATGGGCTTTTTCTTTTGAACTTTGGCGCGCTGTATCTCTTTAAATTTTCATTAGTATGAAAAAGTGAAAAATACGTGTTGAATACTTTTTGATAAGATAACTGACGGAATAATTAAAACTCTTACTTTTTTACCCAGGAAACATCCCTATTTTGTCCAATGACCTCAAGCTACCCATCCTTATCGCTCGCGCCTAATTATGTTGCTGTTGCGCTCGCACACTCACTGCGGGTACCCGTCACACAGTCGCGACAGCAATATAATTACACGCGAGCGATAAGGATGGGTAGCTTGGGGTCAATGGACAAAATTCTACGTGTTCAGCGACCAGACTACTTCTGTTTCTACTGTGATTCATCAACACATTCTGTAGTATTTAGGCTCTTCAGTATTTTTTGCGCGCTAGTTATATTGATTGCGGCAGTCAGTCGAGAATATGACAGTGTATGGGAGCCCGCGCGCTAGACAGCCAAGAGTGTTCATTACCGCATTGCCTGTCACAGTCAGACTGCCTAGTGCACGAGGTCGCTTAGGCTAGAATGGACGTAATGGCCATACAAACTAAATTGTGTGTCTTCGTTCGTTCGTTTCAGCCAAATGACGTCCAAGGTTTTCCATAATGAAGGTCCTGCGCTGCCCGCATCCAGGCCCTTCTATTATGTGTCTAGCTAGACATTATTTTGATGTGATAAATTATGATTGCATAATGATCTCAAAACTAGCCAAGTAGCAGACAAAATGCCAAGGCGTCAGATGATCTTTCTTTAACCGTTTGAGAGCAAATTAACACTACTAAATTAACTAAGAGTTTTTGGTAATAAAGGTACATAAACAAAGTTTTCTTTCGACGCAGGTGGCGACGCAACCTTCCAATTTCCATGTGACGCAAGCTGCCGCACCTCCAGTCACTACCATCCCTGCAGTCACTTTATCACAAACCCAACCTGCAAAGGTACAGTGTATTTATAAAAATTGTACTGGATATTTAATTTGGAAATTGCCATTCAGTTAATATCTGGTCTGGAACTTTGTCGTAATCGATGTTGCGCTGAATTCATATGGTACTCATTTTTAGGTGAAAAAGGGAGTAAAAAGAAAAGCAGATACTACTACGCCTATGGGAAGTTCCTTTGAGGGTGGTTACACTACTCCGACCATAGACCAGCAGAGCGGGCCGAAACCAGCTAAAATATCAACAAGAAGAGAAAGCGGTCGCCAGAAAAAGGTTTGTTTTTTGTAAAAGTTGAAGTAACTAAAACACTATAGTTTGTTCACATGACCCTTTCATAAATGAGAAAATGAGCAGTCATTACTTTTTTGAGTTCTTTTAGATAAAAGATTATTTCTAATACAGGTTAGCAGAGCAGGTGAAGATGGTTTCAAAATGGGCGGTCTCTCACCGGGCATTGCCGGGGCCGGCGCTTCACATCACTCCGTCATGACACCTCAATTAGCCAAGGGCAAAGAAAAGTTGTCTGATGCTTTAAAAAGTTGTAATGAAATTCTAAAAGAACTGTTCTCCAAAAAGCACTCTGTAAGTATCACTCTTGTTTCATCTGTCATTATGTTCTCTGATGTTTTTGTTACTATAATAACATTTATTTATTTTTAGGGATATGCTTGGCCATTTTACAAACCGGTAGACGCAGAGTTATTAGGTCTTCACGACTACTTTGATATAATCAAAAAACCTATGGATCTCGGGACTGTAAAACAGAAGATGGACAATAGGGCGTATAAGACGGCCACTGAATTTGCTGCCGATGTTCGTTTAATATTTACCAACTGCTATAAATATAACCCTCCAGACCACGATGTTGTTGCTATGGCGCGAAAATTACAGGACGTGTTTGAAATGCGGTAAGTTTTTTATTATTAATCTTAATTTTTTTAATCTTGATTTTGATTTTTGATTCATAGGGTTGTGACTTGTGACAAAACAAAAAGGAATACAAAAATGAAACTCAATGTAATTTTCCAGATATGCTAAAATTCCCGACGAACCTGTTCACGTTGGCGTGCCACACATGGACAAAGGTAGTTCCGCGTCAAGTTCAGAATCTGGATCAGAGTCGGATTCCGAATCCGATGACTCTGAAGAGGAAAGAACGAACAAAGTGAAACTACTGGAAAAGGAGCTTCTTGCATTACAAGAGAAAATGAGGAAGCTTGTAGAGGAATCTAACAATAAGAAAAAGGCTAAAAAGAAAATAAAAGAAAAGCAGAAGAAGCCAGTACCCACGCCTGGAATTCCAAAAGCCGCCAACGCTGCAGCTGCGGCGTACGCGGCTAAAGCAAACAATATAGCAGAAAATTTAGGTGAGTAACTATCCCGGATATTACTTGCTAACAATGCTTCATTGTTTACTTTTTCATCAATTCTGATAGCATCAATTTGTAATCTTATCTCATCAACTTCTTTTGAAATACCTAAGCTATGCTTGAAATTTTACGAAAAGTATCCTGAATGCATGTAATTTTATTACATATTACTTTTGTTATATTTTCTCAAGCCAAGAATTTAGATTGTAAGGACAAATTCTTACACAAAGATGTTTTTGGCGGTAGTAGTAAAGAACGGACACGGCAACGTCATTTATGTCGTCGTCAGCGTGTTTACTGCGTACATAGCAAGTAGAAATACGTGTTAATGAAATCAGCACCTTATGCCGACGGCATTTGATCCTATTTGTTGTCGCAAATGCTTAATTAGGGCCCTCGCCCACGGCGACTTTGTAGCGATGCAGTCGCGCTGCGCTAGCGCGTAGCAAATGCGACTAACGCGCGTTACTAGCGATGCAGTGCGTGGGCGAGGGCCCTTATGGGCTTATGTATCCTATATCGTAAGTCTTACAACACATTAACATCTTTGAACATTTCCAGCGGCGAACGCCGTCCGAGGCAAGACGGGTAGGTCGCGCGGCGGCGGCGGCGGCGGCAAGGCGGGCGCGCGCGCGGCGCCGGCCGGCAAGAAGAAGAGCTCCACGCCCACCGCCGCGCCCGCCGCGCACCAGCCGCCGCACCCCGACTCTGAGGACGAGGACGTCGCCAAGCCCATGTCGTACGACGAGAAACGACAGCTGTCGCTTGACATCAATAAGCTGCCAGGTATGATATGAAAGTCTCTTTATCCTCGTTAGGCCCGATTCGACCAAACTTTTAAGGCTTCGGCAGACCAAACTCGGGGCAGTAGCAGAGCGAGTCAGTTGCAGTTGCAGCGCGGCAGTAGGCAGCGGCAGTTTCGAAGCAGTTGCAACGCGAGCGGTTGTAAAAAAGTACAATATTCGTCAACCACTTTCAACGCGCTGCGCTACACTGCTACCGCCCTGCCTCCGGTGAGTCATGCTAATATGGCCGCCATAGTAATACAACAGCGCGGGCCCGCGCATGCGCTGCTTCTGTCCCGCTCTCGCGCCGCCTGGTTTGTCGTTCGGCAGTTGCAGTGCGGCGCGGTTGGAGCGCGGGCCCGCCTTTAAATTTGGTGTGACACACAGAGTTTCTTGTATTAAAACTTGCGCGGGCCTGCATTCAAACAGCGCTGCTACTGCCCCGCGTTTGGTCTGCCGAAGCCTTTATCCGAGAATAACTCCTGGTATAACTGGCACATTGGCAGTTTCAGTATGGGAAATATGACGTCAAACAAAATGTCGAATAACTGACGATTTTTGGTCGAATTACTAGTTACTCTTATTTGGTCGAATCCACCCTTAGGCTAAGAACTCAAGAGGCGGTTTTCACCCGCGCGCCTTCTCAATTCTCTTTACTAATTAGCCAAGTCAAGAGACACAATCTTACCTTTTTATATTTGTACCTTATTATGTTTACAAGAAGGATTAATTTAACTACTGCTGCCACTGGTCAGCGACAATAAGTGAAGATCGACTGAGAATACCGGGAGCCTGTATGAATGAATGAGCTTGATGTTTGTCGGACCTCTCAAATCTCCTTATTAGGTGCAAGCCAATTTGTACCTTATTGTGTTTGGTATGAGGATCAATTTTATTATGGTATCTTCGGTCATACACAATAATGAGCATCGACTGAGAATACCTGGGGGCCTGTATGAATGAATTAGCTTGATCGGGACTTATTTTCTGGAGACAGGATTTGATGAATCTATTATCAATTTCGGGTAACGACGACTTTGTTAAATGTTAGGCCAGTATATTGATATGATTAAGAATTTTTATTTGTTTTTTAGGCGACAAACTTGGAAAGGTGGTCCACATCATTCAGAGCAGGGAGCCTTCGCTTCGTGATTCCAATCCCGACGAAATAGAAATAGACTTTGAAACGTTGAAGCCTTCTACTCTGAGGGAACTAGAAAATTATGTAGCCTCATGTCTACGGAAAAAGACACGTAAGCCTCATTGTGAGTCGAGCCGACATTATTTTCCTCCCTCCATCTTACTGTTTCAAGTATTTTGAATCTGTAATGTAGTTGTTTTCGTTTTGGCGTCTGAGATTCTGATTATTTTAAAAACGATCAGATTTTCAGTATGCATTATTTTGATTACTTTATAGTAAATTATTTTTAGCCTGTTCAGTCATTAAAATTAGAAAGTTTTATACTTTCATTATTTTAAGAATCACATTTTCTTGTAATTATATTTTTAGATTGATTTTATTTAGAATTTCTGAAATTATGAAGCTTGAAAACAGAATATTTTTTGTAAATGTATAGGCAAATAATGTTGGTGGTACTTATTTTTCATGCTTTTTAATGTAGCTGCTAAATTGTATTTTTTTTATGGAAAGGAAAGAAATTAGATTGTGATTTTCTTTCAGATCGTAAAATGTCAGGTAAATCTAAAGATGAACAAATGGCAGAGAAAAAACAGGAGTTAGAAAAGAGGTTACAGGATGTATCTGGACAACTGGGAGCAAATAAGAAACAACAGCAGAAAAAAGGTAAATTATAAATTTTTAACATTTTAAGTCTATTTATTTTTTAATGTTTGGTGTTTTATTGTTTATGTAAAACTGAATGCAGAAAATGACTTTTACCAACTCCAAATTGAGTATTGTTTTCTCAGTATTTTTTTTTTTTTGAAAAACGAGTGGTTCCAAGGAATTTCCACAAGCGTCTATTTATTAATCTGTAACTGTTGTCCAATCCAATGAAGTGACATTGCCTCTAGCTAACTAGTGGTTTCAGATATAGCGCAATCGCTGTTGAAAGTGTTATAATCCGCCAACAACTTTTGATGTTCTCCTTCTTGTCGTGTCGACAACAAACCTACACAGTGTCAGCCCAAAACTCCGCTACAAGAGTGGCGTTGTCAGTAGCATTCAGTAAATCTTCCTGCTCGCACTTGTTTGGGCACGCAGGGCAAGACATCATGTTGTGTTAATCTAACATCATTTAGGTCTATTTAGGACGTTTGCCCAGTTGGGTGTATTTGAGCCTATTGTAAATGAATGCTATTGCCCGCAGACGGATGCAAAGATGGCCTCGGCGGAGGCATGTCGTCGTCGTCCAGCTCCTCGGACTCGTCCAACTCGTCGTCCAGCACCGACACCAGTTCGTCGGACAGCAGCGATAGTGAAGCAGGTTAGATACATAGCGGCACAATTCTTGAGCGTCTTCTATCAATTCACATTAATCAGTCAAAAATAGTACTGAACGGTACCAAATGTACCACATGTAAATTACAGTTTTACTATTAGATTTTAATGTTATGTGCATTTAAATTAAGAGAAATCTTACAACTTGTATGTAAATGTTCAAATGCTTGATATCTATATTACATAAGTTTGTCGGCAACATTTTCGTAATGTGAGTGAAAGTTTTTACCTTAGCCAGTATTTTTTTATAGTATGACTGACTTTATTTATGTTTTATAAAATTTTAATGCAATATTTGCAATTTTACCCATTCAATAATGTTCAATTCTAGTCTGAAATATGATGTCAACAGCCGAGTGAATGAGGAAATGAACCTTTAAAGTAAATGAGAGAAAAATTAAGACCAAATTGGAGTAGAAATTGAATCCTTCCTTTCTGAGGATGAGGTTTCTTTAATTTTTTTCTGGCAGTTATTAATTACTTATCTTGATAACCGCGCTTCTATTGTGCGAGTGTACTCTAAACAGTAGACACTGGCCGCGCGATTGACTGTTTTAATAGAATACTTTATTTAAATGTGTTTTTTGTTTAAATGGATGAAAGTATGTGTAGTGTGTGGACTGTATTATGTTATGATTCCCTCAAACTCAAGTAATTTCGAGTTTTGTTATAACTAAAGGATTTATCATCATTATCATAGAAGGCCTTAAGACCTTCAGATAAATAAGAGCAAAGTAGTTTTTAATTAGCACTCGCGGTCTTTATTTGATCTAAGTTGTAGTAAGAATGTGAGAGCTGCAAAATTGGTTCTGAGTATGATTTTACACTGTGATAATGGAGAGGGATACCACCTGAAGTTCTGATTCAATATGAACCGTATGAATCTAAAGTTCTCTATGCTATGTAAAGGCACAAAAAGTTGTTATAAGAGGGAGAAAGCCAGCTTTGGTGTTCACTGATATTTTGTAATGGTGCCGGTAAGAGCAGTTTTATTTGGTTTGCTTTCATAAACCAATAGCAAATACCTTTTCACATTAATATTTTTAACTATATCATGTCCTCAAGTGCGACGTTATTTCATTTGCATCCTTAAAATTTCGATCTACTGTTATGAATATACTATTGGAAAATCTTCAGATCTCATGGTACTAATTGCTTTTGAGTGTGAAATTTAAACCCAAACGTGATTATTTTTGAGCTCGTATGAGCCGTGGAGGCAATGAATAAGTTCGAAGATCGATAGTAGTGTCGGTACGTCCAGTGAGCGAGCGGGGAGGACCATCCACGAGGCGCCCGACGAGCCCAGTGCAGTCGCTAGCGAGTAATGCAAACAATTGTGTAAGGACGGATACCAACTTTGCAAGCAAAATTGTTTTGTTTGTCCCGTGCGGGACGCTCGAGGATGTAACTTTATGACATGTTGTAGTTAAAAATTATGGTCTCTGAAAAGGTATGGTTTTATTGGTTTAATTAATGCTTGGTACTTATTACTCTTCAATGCTTGCTCCCAGAAACTTAATGTGTGATCCAAATTATATTTAAATGTTACCAAACCTAAAGCTGGCCTCCTTCCTTCACAAATTGTTTGCAAACTTGTCAATATATTGATAATTTAAACATTCGTGGATTGTCCTATGTAAAAATAAACCGATTTAAAATTTAATACATGTCATGGGCACTACGCCTTGTATAATGATGAACTATTTTATTAAATATATTTAAATGTTTACAGGCAGTGCAGGTGCTTTACGAAACATTGTGTAAATGTATGAGCTCCAAACCTATAAATATATTTATTTGAATGTAGTGCTACCGTTGAACTGCGTCAATTCTTGGGATAGGTGCGTGGTAGTAGCGCGCGATGCGTATTCAGTTTTCTCTCCCGCACTGGACGCTCTATCTCCTGAAACGTCTCGGTTAAACGTTAGACTTAATTTCAAGTTGGATTTTCTTTTCAAATAATATGTACATGCACATTGATAAAATCTTGAGGATAGATTCATCTACCCTATCGTATCCGCGTAGGTTTCAGTTTTGTATGTGATTTTCTATGTCATTTTTTATTTGGTACTTTATAATGAAAAGACAAATTTCGTATTTATTTAGTTGCCGTGTGTAAATAAATACTTATTCACTAAACTATATACAAATATATTAATTGTTCAAAGCATTGTATTAGATATTTTTTATATAGCTGTCAAGTCACAGGCCTTTTAGAAGCACTTTAGAATGATTTCTTTGAAGATTAAAGAATTAATACAAGATAGGAAATGTTTTGTAAAAATAAAGCAGTTCAAAATATTAATACGTTAAAACAACAAACTACCCATAGTGTAGCGATGTAAAATATAGATATAATATCGCTGTATTATTAAAAGTTATTTGCACAGGCCTAAATATTAAATGATTGTTTTATAGTTTTATACCAGGCAAAAAGTTTTAACCGATGTTATAACGTCAAAGCATATTAAATTGTAGAATGTTGACCATTTTACTCTTCTATTTATATATTTATTTGCCTTGTTTAGAAGCTTTTACAATGTGAGTCTTTGTTTCATTTTGACGATGTCCAATGTCTGTTAGCTGCAGAGTTTAAAATGTTCGAAATGTAGACAAGTGTACATTCCTGAAGAATTCACATTTTCAGTTATATTTTATCAACTGGTCATAAGCGCTCCTATTTTTAAGTACAATTTGCTGGTTGATTGGAGAGATCTTATTGTAAGTTAGATTTTAGTAATATAAAATTTTAGAGTTCCTTAGCACCTCCAATGGGCCAAAAGGAAAGAACAAACAAGCAAGTCTATTGTATACTTTATTCTGAATAATATTTTGCCAATATTGTAGCGGAGATTATTGTCAGGTTATGAATATTGGTTCATCATAATTTGCTTTAAATGACATGTATAGGATCAGTCGCCATAGGGTTGAATTTGTTAAGAAATTATCAATACACGTGGTACAATTAGTAAATTTGACGCAACATTTGGTTGATCCGTTTATGTAGAAAGTTGCAAGTCTGTAACAGAACACCATGTGTAATAATAATAATTATTTAAAATAAATTTTTATGAGTTTATTTAATCAACTCATGACTTAAATTGACTAGATTATAAGAGTGAGTGGAGATAAACTGTGTATATATTTCAGTATATAACAAGAATTTAAGTAAATCTTTTAAGTAATTTATTTTGAATTTTATTTGCCTTGCCCTGAGATCTGAAGATATTTTTCTATCGTGTGTAGATAGTGTGATTAGGTACAGTACCTAAGGTAAAGCGTTGAATTACATTATTTTTGAAACAAGTATGTGTTAAACGTGTTAGTATATTATATAAGTGAATTATTAAATATTACTGTTGCAAAAATTATCATGTTTTTATACGGCGCCGACAAATATCAGTGAATATCATGAAATAATTTTAACCATCATAATATTAAGTTGATAATTATATTGAAAGTAGCTTGTGATCGATTGGAAGTATTACGATCATAGGTGTTTTTGAATATGAGTGAAAGAATACTTCAGGTTCAAAGTTAAGTACATTTGTTTGACAATCATATTCAGAATGTCTGTTTTTATGAGTGTCGTGGCTATGATCGACTACGTTCATTTCAGGTACCGGATCCGGGAGAACTCCCAAGAAGAAACTCAAAAAACAGTCTCAGCAACATCAACCGCCAATAGTAAATATCGATTATTTTAACTGTCAATTCGTTCATCGGCTCAAACGGCACACGGCGTAACCGTTTCCGATCGTTTCAGAAGACCGTTCCACCGATCGCGCCCGTCATAGGTGCGAGCGTGGCCGCCGCCGCCGCCGAGCCGCAGCCGGCCGCGCCGCTCGACGTCAAGACCGCGCCCGCGGACGCCAAGCCCGCCGAGCCCGCGCCCGCGCCCGCCGAGCCCGCGCCCGCNAGCCCGCCGCGCGCGCCCGCCGACCCGCCCGCGCCCGCGCCGCCGCAGCGTCCGCCCGACTCCTCCGTGGCGCCCCTCACCCGGGACGTCGAGGACCAGAAACCCGTCCCCAAACTCGAGCCCCGGAACGGCCTCGACAAAGTGGTCGACCCCTCGCACTACATCGACCCGATCGAGCGGTCGCTCGCCAGCCTCGAGAGGAGTCTCAACGCCGACGTCCCGATGGACGTCAGCGTCGGCGTCTCCGAGTCGTCCATGCGGCTCGAGGACTTCGCTCTGCCCAAGACGCAGATGATGCCGGACGCGGCGCATCAGAACCTCATGGCGCAGCTGGGCGGCCTCACCGACATAGCGCACGTGCCCGACCAGATCAAGAGCGAGATGTATATCCCGCCTCACAACGGGTTCGTGGAAAAGACGATGCAGCACGACCGCGACATTTTACGACCTGATGTGAATCCCACCATACCTGACATAGCGCCGGTGGCGCCGGTGTCGTCGATATTCGACCCCGTGCCGTCGGCCCCGCACAGTGTCATCGCGCAGTCGCATCACAACATGCCCGGAGCCGCGTGTTTGATGACGCCCGCCATCAAGAAGGAAGATATCAAACCGCTGCTGACGCCGAAGCCCATCGAGGATCTTATCGGTGTTACGAACATGGCGAGCAATAAAATGTACGATAGGGCTAAATATGAAATGGACAAAAAGATGGAAGATGCGAAAAATTCTAACTTTGTACAAGCTTTTAAAATGAAACAGGAACAAAATTTGAAAAATGCTAGCTCATGGTCCTCATTGGCGCAAGCTGGTAGTCCTCAGAGTATACCCAACGTGAGCACAAATAATCAAATGAAACCTAAACCAGTCATGGATAGTTTCCAAGTAAGTATTCTTGTGTTCCGAATTTACTCGCTATAATTTGATAGACATACTATTGGATTAACTAGTCAATCAGTTGTAGTTGTAGCTGCGTAAGATCCTATATTGACTGCAAGATGTGGCATGATATAAGAAATCTAAAAAAGTTCACAACAAATCTATTTAGCATTTCAACTGTTTTATTAGACAATCATGCCTAAGACCTTAGTTGTTGTTTATAGATCATGCATAATGGTTATTGTTCTTACAGGCGTTCAAAAAACAAGCCAAGGAAAAGATAGATCGTCAGAGAGCACTAATCGAACAACAGGAGTTACGAAAGAAGGAGCAAGCGGAAAGAGAAAGGCAAAGACAAGAAACAGAACGACGACATCCTGACGAAGATACGATGAGGTGAGTGAGATGTAATAGTTGATGTTATGTATTCGTGTTCATGTGTTGCATCCTGTAGATACTTTTGTATGTTTTATAACGAACCCGATTACGAAAACGTAAAGTGTACTTAAAAAAAACTATAATACTAGTAAATCACCTTGAAGTGGCCTCCCTTTCTCTTTTTATAATACCACCTGGATATAATTCTCAAAAGATTTTGAGCTGTTATTAAATCCTGTTAGTATCTGTAATTTTTTATCGATCTGACATTGGGTAAAATATCTTCCAAAGTCAAGAAAAGTACTTTCCGTCTGAACTCTGAACGCACTATCATACAACGTTCTAAGGTCATAGCAGACTTATCAACTCTCAAAAGGATCAACACCGTATCGCCTTCCGCGAGTTGTCATCGCCTTTCGCGCGCTGTCAATTGCGAAGCGAGGCGTTTACGTTACGGTGCGGATAAGTATGCGTTGCAGTATGGAGTTTCATACAAAGAATTATAGATACTGACCGCTTCGAGTTGATACGGTTACGATCCTTTTCCGAGTTGTTAAATGTGCTACGTTCTCTAAACGACATTTTAATTACAGAGCGGTACAAGGAGTCCGGAAGCCTGAGAGCGCAGAGGTGGCGTCGCCGAGCGTATCGCCGGTCGCGCGAGCATCGCCGCCGGGCGCAAGCGGCGCGGCGGCGGCGGCGGCGCCGGACAAGGCCGCGGCCGCCGCCGGCGAGCGGGAGCGCGAGCGATTGCGGCAGCGGCAGCGAGAGCAGGAGCGCCGGCGGCGCGAGGCCGTAAGTGCATTTCAGATTTTTTTTTAAACAATGTTTGTTGTTTTATGTTATCTACTAGCTTATTCCCGCGGCTTCACCCGCGTTAAATTTTAGTTTGTCACGAGCCCATATGTTATTCTGGGTTATAAAGAATAATACTGTAAAGTTTCATCAAAATCCGTTCAGTAGTTTTTGCGTGAAAAAGTAACAAACATCCATCGAGACATCCAAACTTTCGCATTTATAATATTAGTAGTAGGATTGTTGATTTTCGATCAGTACCTCTAAATATTATTCAATAACGAATTTCTATTAGAGCTAAACTTACGTGTTTGTTGCATAGTTTATTATAGGTATCTAATTTTAGGAAAAGTGATAATTTATAATCAAATTATTAACGAGTGACATCCTTGAGACAGGCTGATTAGTGATTACTTTGACAATCAGGCTTTGCCTAATTTCCCTTTGACTTCCATTAATGAATGTGTAAATAATGATTTTCAACTTGTTTCAGATGGCCGGACAGATAGACATGAATTTGCAGAGCGATTTGATGGCCGCGTTTGAGGAATCGTTGTAATATGTTTCGAGAATGTTATAATAATATGTACATATGAGTATGATATAGTTATAAATAGAGCAATGCAATCGATTTGTATGGTGATGTGACACCAAAGTGATTTTGTGATCGTTTTGTGTGTGAAAAGTTGACTAACATGTGGTTAAGTGCTGTGAATAGATTACTTATATTAAATTAAACTGTTGTACCATCAATCTAGACTTTGTGGTCGTGTTATGGGCCTTTTAGGGGGTTGCATTTTAAATAACGTGTATTATATAAGTTTGTATGTAAGTTCTTATAGTAAACAACTCTCTTTACATTCGTATGCCTATATATTTATATTTCGTTCTAGAAGTGTCTTCTACCTTCCGCAATTTGTTTTATAGTACGTACTAATGACTAGCGTCGTAGTGATTGAATTGGAAAAAGAATCAGAAATGTTTTATTTTATGTAATTGATCAATAGACAATCGACTAAACCATGAAATCTGTTAATTCTCTACATACTTCCTCATTGTATGGTTATTATTATTATAACCGCGTATTTTGCAAATAACATTTATCATTGTAGGTGTAAACCCAAATAAAGACATACTGTACAATTCATTAGCGCTTCAAGTTGATCATACAATGAGCAAGGGTGTGGACGTGTGTGTATATGTATTTATTAGTAGATTGAATTTCTGTTACGTATTCGATTTTCGATAAATATTGCTTAATGTTAGTAGATTTTTTATCAGTCTGTCACTTGAAAACAGATCAAATGTCATACATTTGATTTGAAATATATTTATTTTACATTGGAATATGTCTTTTTATGTTTGTAGATAGATAACACCATTACTGTAGACAGATGTTTAGTACAGTAACAACCAATTAACATACTTTACCAGTATGTAATAAGCATGGAATATCAAACCCATCCTAAGAATTGTATATTGTTAAGAAAATTTTAATTTCAGTCATTACTCAAAAACTCGAAATCAAAATGTAGATATAAAGTAAAATATATTGACATTCCATAATGTACTGTGTTGTTTAAATTCATGTTTATACTTATTATTACTCTTTTCAATTGTTTGTTTAGAGTAAAAATTTAAATAATAGGTTACCTAAATCATAGGAAATCCACATAATGATAATCAACAGATTAAAAAACTAAACGTGTGTAATTATTTAAAATGTCGACAAAAGACTGCTGAAAAGTGTGTAACTAATTGAGAATCGATTGATGATATACCTAATATAAATAACCTCGTGTTTGTCTTGTTTTAAAACTAACTGAGAAATTCTTTTTTATTACTGCAGCAAATACATTGGAAATTGAATACCTACTTATTTATTTTCCACCATTAATACAGCATGAAGGATTAGACAAAGGCTAGAGGACAGTTACAAAAATCCTGCTATCATTACAACCTTAGATTAATAAAGCATTACAACTTTTTGGCCTGCTGATTTTAGGGAGATTAAATATTTATTAAAGTCGATACAAATCCCTATTTCCAACAGGTATTCACGTAAGGACTCCTTACGTAGCTAGTGATGCAACCAACAAAATTAGGAATGGGTCGTTTCAGATAACGGGTAGGTAGGATTGGGTACAGTTTTCTGTTTAGCGCATGCAGAGTGGAGGGACCGTGGCATACACCTTGAGCGCGCTCTACACTCGCGGCGCGAAAGGCCGCGAAAGCCGCGAAACGCGTGTGTAGATGGTTTCGCGGACTTTCGCGCGTTCGCGTTCACGCTTCGCGCCGTTCCCCGTTCGTTGTCGGTTTTTTGTCCCGCGACAAAGGTTCGCGCTTGGTTCACGGCGCGCGATCGCGAACGCAACTACACTCGCAGTTTTTCGCAATAGCTGAGAAGACGCCGTCGCAAGTGGTTGTGCATTATTGCGTACTTACTAACGTTCTTTTTTTTTTAAAATGAGTACTATATGGAATAATGAACTTGAGTTGAAATTTATCGAGTGTTTTCAATCCGAACCAATACTTTGGCAGTCCAAACACAAGGACCATAAAAATAAAAATAAGACCCACTATGCCTGGACGCGGATAAGTGACATTTTGAATATTCCTGTGGGTGAATTGAAAAAAAAAAAGAACTCACTTATTTATGTCCAGTTATAGAACCTATAGAAAGTTAAGGATTCCACTCATAGTGGGGCAAGCTCAAATGAAATAATAAACCCATTAAACATTTTTTATTTGTGTCTTATTTTTAATACTAGGTAATTGTAATACGATATAGCACAGAGCGTCACCGCAGCAGCGACAATCACGTCGTCATCCCTTGAGGCCGCGAACGAGACTGCGAGGCTTCGCGAGTGTGGAGAGACACATAAACGCGAAGTGCACGGCGCGAATCGCGGCGTGAATTCACAGCAAGAATCGCGCGCGAGTGTAGAGCGCGCTATAGATCGTCTCTCTCTTGACTTCAAGTACACCCTTTACTTTGTCACAGTAGCAATATAATATTTATCAAGCTATATAGGTATATCTGTGGGTATATCAATGTAAAGTTGGATTTCTAATCATAAACATCTAAATTAAGAACTACTCATTCCATAGACAACCGTATAGCGGTGACAAATCCATGATGAGAATGATACCTGTTCGTGCTGTACTTGCAGAAAATATTCAGGAGTCAGGGTAATTTTCAAACTATTGACTGCTACTTCTCTTCAAAAGCTAGAACCTACATAGTACCTATGTGTCCGCATCCCACGCAAAGATAAGATGCGCAGGCCTGTCGTTTCTCAAACGGGTGGACGTGGTATTGATTTGGGACATACTGTACATCGCGGCACACTGTTCCAGAGGCGTGTAAGGCATGTGGCGGTACACTTTACTGTCAGAATGTTTATCAAACCGCCATAATGCCACTGACTAAATAAGTATGTAACTAAAAGCTTTTACAACCATGCATTCCGAAAAGCTAGATGCGTCGATATTTGTGATTAATGTAGGTTGGTTTTTTTTTTCGAAATAGGCAAAACTATGCACAGTGCATAAAATAATAAATCTAACAGTTTTCTGTGTGGTTTAGGAATGTATCTAGTCTTGGAAGTTCCTGGCTAACTACATACAATTTGCTATTACCTATGCAAAAAGTAACTGAAGTAGGATGCGAATACTTTCATGATTTTATATAGGTTTAATTAGAGCACTTACTCAAGTCAGTGCCTGAGGTAAGGGAGGGGTGACATTGACATATTATGACGTGAAAGAACTTCGTGCTGCTGCTACCAAGCATGGCTCATCTGGCATGGTATCATGGCAATCCACATGATAGACAAGAGTAGCAGCTCCTCTAGCATTGGCGTATCTAAGGTCTAGCCCCTGACATGCCATGTGCGATTATTATCATAGCTCTTATGTTTGTACTATCAACTATCAGGTAATGGATTGGTAACCACTTCCAGTCATATTTAGTTAGATGCATGTAAAAGTATTCGCATCCTACTTCAATTACTTTTTGCATAGGTAATAGCAAATTGTGTGTAATTAGCCAGGAACTTCCAAGACTAGATACCATTTCCTAAACCACACAGAAAACTGTTAGATTTATTATTTTATGCACTGTGCATAGTTTTGCCTATTTCGAAAAAAAAAATAAAAAACTACCAAACTACATTAATATCCTGAAATGTGTTACAGAAGGCTGACATGAAATATTAATCCCCGTTAACGCCAATTGGAGCTTATAATGGGGATTAAGATGTACAGTAATTTCTGAAGCAACATGCTGGATCTGGAATTGTAGGTAAAATTAAAAATAAAACGATCGGATCCAAATGGAATTATAATATATCACATTCCTCGATCTGTACAACTAAATTAGACTACAGACAAGCGCTTATAATATATATTATTACATTACATGTATATTTAAATAAATTCATATAACGCCGTACAATACTACGAGGCGTTGGAGTCCCACTCTATGAGGTAGGCGGGTTGCGCGCCGGGCGCCAGGCGACGTGCCAGCACGCGGAAAGTCTGCCCGGCTCGGAAGTACGACTGAACGCTGGACTTCAGTGCCGACAACTGGAGAGCGTCAACGCTGGTGCTGCCTCCACCGCTCTTGTGCGGGCTCAACTGCAAACTCTTCACGCTACTGTTATTGCTTGCGTTGCTAGTGGTGTTCCGGCGAGCGTTTTCGTAGTAATTCTTCTCCTGCCGCTGTCTCAGTCTTCTGCCGTGGAATTTTGTGTTGTTGTGAGCGGGCGGCGGGGTGACGTCCACGTTCTCGTTCTGCGCCTGGACTGCTTTATTCGCGTCCTCGGGAAGGGGACACGACTTGTTTAACTGTAAACCAAACATAGGATTATGTAAATTGCTTATCGTAAAGTGCATATCGTAAATCGCAAGGAGTGTGTTACAGAGATATGACACGAAGGTACAGAAAAAAAAACATTTTATTCTAAATTACTGTTTTTTTCCTGGAGCCCTAACTAAAAGGAATGCAAATATAGTTTTAGAGACAACTGTTTACTGTAGGATATTAAGGCTGAGTTGCACCACCTAACTTTAACGGTAACTTTATCGATAACCGGTGCTTTTTGTATGGAGTTTGACACATTTTTGACGTTTCTTAAAGTCAAAGTAAGATGGTGCAACCCAGCCTAAAATAGTAAACCATGCATAAACTCACCTGCATTTGCAAATATTTCCTAGGTCTTCGATGTTTTCTGCGTTTTACTTCGCCATTAGGTAATATAACTATGTCCTTTTCACTAAGCTTTCTCTTCAGCGGCCTCACAAGAGGGCCCATCAGGGGATTCAGTTGCACAGGCAAAGAAAGTCTTGACTGGAACGGATACTGCTTCCCATTTTGTTTGCTATGCTTATACATATTTAATGAGTTGAACTTCGATGGGTAAGTGTTTTTCATCAAGAAAGGATTATTTTTTCCTTGAAAGTCTTTTAATGGTGGAATAATAGCATCTAAAGTGCCTCTACTGGACGTCTCGTCTCCCGACGACTCTATCTCTATGAAGTTGCTGCTGTAAGCGGGCACACTGTCCATGTGTTGCAGCGACATTATTTTGGAATGTTCAATAATGTTTTTAGTGGACAACTTGGACACCTCCAAGTTCATAGTCGCTATTCTAGTCGAATGCGTGTTGATATTCAAACTGCCGTTATCAGTTTTGTCATCGGTTTTCTCTTCAGGAGTCTCTTTGGGTATTTTGTCTAACTTTACAGAACATGGAACTAATGATGTGTTACACGATGGCACAGAAGGAGTTTCACAGACAGAATTAGCTTCACTGGTCTCTAGCGGAGACGAAGACTCATTTACTTTCGATATGTTTTCTAATTTATCATCTTTGGCATCAGATTTCCTAGTGGAAGAAGTACAGACGGCAGGAGAGCGTTGCTCCTCATTCTCGGAAAGCTTAACAGATTCATAGGAACTTGTGGAGTCATTTTCTGAATTTGAGTTAGAGTTCAAATTTTCATGAAACCGTTTCCCCATCATTAAATTCAACCAGTGTCCATCTACTGGGACGATCATGTGCTGATTTTTATAGGAACTTTTGTATGGGTTACTACTTGACGGTTGTAAACTGCAAAAGAAGAGACTTTGTAAGTATACTGTAGTCTAAGAAAGTAAAAATTATTTTAATATGAAATAAATCCAACCAATACCTGTCATCTACGATGGATTGCGCTTGCGGTGAGGGTGGCCGTGACAAAAAGCGAAGCCTAGGTGCATATTCTCTAACCATATCATCAGTCAAAGGTTCTCCTTTCTTTATCTGATAAAAAGCAAACAAAAACTGATTAGAATGACAAGAATAAATGTTTTGTATAATTTCAAATATTTGCTAAAACAATTTTAATTGTCTATGGTTACTATTAACATGGTATTAAATCAAAGTAGCTGGCAAAATTAACATACAGCATAATGTTTTAATAAGCAATTTTATTAACATTCAATGATAGAACGAACGATGATCGTACGTTCTTCAAGCACGATTTAGAATGTGATTTATTTGGAAGAAGACCGCAGACCGCTCCGCAAAAATTTCCGCTCAGATTAGCATCTGCAGTGACAAATTGCAACTACAGCATCAGTTTATGTAAGAGGTTCAAACGTGTAAAAAGAAGTAGTTATCTTCGATTGCGGTATGCGATCGTCTTCGAACCTAGAGACTAGAGCAGTGGTTCTTAACCTTTAAGTCATGAGGGACCATTTCACCAAATTTCTGTCTTGTCAGGGACCACCTCATAATCGGTCAAAACCAGTTTGACTACAAAAATCAGTTAAGTGTTTTTGACCAAGGTGTACAAGTGCACTTCGTGGACCACTTTGAATGATTCCAGGGACCACCAGTGGTCCGCGGACCACCGGTTAAGAACCACTGGACTAGAGACTTCGTTGACTGGTATACCTGTTCCAATGCCGACAGCTGCATGGGCGGCGGCGGCGGACGACGCAGGCGCAGCCCCCAGATGGTCGCACGCTTCTTCATCTCCCTTCCGCACTTGAAGCGCTTGCGCGACGATGTAAGCGCGGTCAGTATCTTCTCTCGCCGCTCGTTCACCGGAGTCCGCCACATCTACAGAGTATATTTAGTTGACATACTTTGTATACTGTAAGTATTTGGGGCAAGATAAAAAATATGCTACCATTACGGCTGATTTATGTTATACTTGTAAAGTTTTATTTTATTTTGAGTATTTCATTTGCTTCTGTAAATGAGTGGCTCGAGTTGCGAATACAATGAAATTTTAAATGGAAGGCATTATGGTATTATTTTGTGAAGAATAGAAGGGGCGGGGCTAACATGGAAATATAGTTAAGAAATGATTTGTGTGACAAAATTTTGGAAAAGTGTAGTCATTAACTAATCAACTACTTATACTTAATGGTCATTACTAATGACAACGGAACCGAACGAGAATGCGATGTTATCTGAAACGCTTTCAACTAAATCCCGCTTTATATGCCGGTGATTTCATTCCTATAATTAGAGCCTAAAATGATAATTAATAATAAAGACGTATATTTCGCCATCAGACGCCAATGCACATAGACCACAGACAAGATTTAAGTCATACATTTATGACGGGCTGTAGTTACTGCGTTATCAGATAGTAGACAATAATTTCAACAGAAGCATACTATGCTCATAGCTCATTCTGTATCTAGTGTGCAGCTCCATCCTTTTCGGACAGCTGCAGCAGACCGAAGTATATTACGCACATCGGTGTTATAATTTCGTAAGACCAATCTAAACTTGAAGACCTGACGAGTCATTAATTGGGCGCATTGTACGCTGTCAGTTGTAGTAAGTAGTTTCCATTCGGTTTCTGTTCCTGTAGGCTGAGTGTCTAAAAAGTTTCTTACTTTTTCGGGAAGCTGCAGCGCGTGCCAGTTATCCATGATGTAGGGCATGATGACGCTGTCCAGATCGAAGTAATTGGGCGCATTGTACGCTGTCAAGTTGTATAGAGCCAGATGCGCCAACTCTAGCCAGCACAGCTCGAGCCGACGAAGGTACTCGGCGCCGCCGTTGCAGTGCGCGCACGCGAATATGTACAACCTGTGGTGGAAATAGAGGTTATTAGGGTGCTTTTTTGCGTGAGATGTGCGAGGAAAATGAGCGACGGAAGGCGCAGTGAAGCGTGCAAGGATGACATTCGACGTGATCATACTTTTTTTTATTTATAAAAAATCATTGCTCCACTAAACCGTTCCCACAAGACCCACAATGAGCGAAGCTAGGTATATGAACTACATTATCCTCCTGAGACCCCCGGTGTCACTCGTGACACTTGAGTATATATTTTTTTTACAGCGCCATTTATTGGTATTTATGAAAATTAATAAAAGTGTGTGAAACGTTGGAATATGTTACATATCCAAAAAATTGCTTTGCCTCGCACGAAAGGGTTTTTGATTTTGTAAACATTAATTGAAATTTTGAATTCGCGCGACCTCCGACATGACACATTCCAAGAAAAGAAAATATTATTTAAAACAAGTTTTTTGGTATTGTTTTGTGTTTTCTGTGTGCTACGGTAATATATCTCTCAGATTTTGCGATAAAACTATTAAAATGTTTCTATTGTAATAAGTATTTTCGTCAATTAATTCGAGTGTCACTGGTGACACTTTGGGCACTCGTGACTTGACATATGGTCCTTTTTAGGATTGTCTGATGGTAACGTCAAGTCAATGTTATGCAACTTTTATGAGACAGATGATAAAAAAAAATATGCTCCATCCTCAGATCAGACCCTGGATATCATCCAAGACCAGAGTACTTGTCAATACCAATCAAATGAGTCAAAACTCGACAGAGTTACATCGTTTAGTCACAGAGTTTCTATGGCTACCTTCCGTCTCCATCATCAGATCAGCTCCATGACCTCATTATATTAAAGTCTTATCTGAGTTACATGTCTATGCAAAATTTCAGCTCAATCGGTTGGCAGGAAGTAGCTCTAATTCAGCTTCCAAGATTTTACTCAAACATACATTCACACATTTATTGCAAGTTAATTAAAGTTTGTTATAACAAGTTCAATAAAAGCTGTTAAAAAGTAAATCTTATACGATTCTAAACAATTGCAGATCAATTTGAAACTAAAAACACCTATTTTACCATACCTGAAGTAATTAAAATATTAATTAATTCAAGCCCGTTTTAATGTCTTTGAAACCCGTAGTGTCACTGGTGACACCCCCCATTTTGGCGTATGTAGGGGGGCTAGATTTTTTTTCGCATTTTTTGTTAGTTGTACATATGAATCTTAGCCTGCCTTCCAAAATTCAAGACAATCCGACAATTTTTAGGGGTCTGGGTCTCAGGAGGATATATTGGTGTTTGACAAACACATTCCTCACAATGCAATAATTAGTGCATCTTTGTTGGATAGGCCTGTCCACTATTCATGTATGCGAAAGCTAAAAGATAGTCCGTGGTTAGGCTACAAGACTAATAAAATACAATAGTGATGAAATTATTAACAGGTCGTTAAGATATTGATGTAAAATATTATACCTAACATAACAATATTAATTAATTTCATGCTTTTACTTATAATTTATTGCTCTCTATCAAAGTGTCTTAAGATAAGTTTTAATGAGAATAAATTTTCTTTATTGCTTATTTTATTACTTACTTATCGCCCGCATATAACGGATACTGCAAACTGGTCACGCATCTTTGGTGGAACCATCGAGAACATCTGCAGCATAACAGCATCTGGAAATGTTCCAAGTCATATAAATATCGCGGTGTATATTCCCCCAAAGATGAATCTGAGTTGGCAAGTACCTGAGCAAGCCAATCGCTTTTTTCTCCGCAGTAGCAGTTAGTTTCATTTTGGTCCTTTCCCGCATCGGATGCCGTGGATGATGCGGTCTGAAATATAGTCACATATTTAAGGTGTTATGAAAATGAAGGTAACAGTTGAACCATTTGGAATGTAGGATACAGTTGGAAATTGATTTAGGAGGCAAAGTTCTTTTTCCATTCCGTGGAGGGGTCTACATATTACATAATTCCTGGAATTTACTAAATGCCTAGTTTTGTAAACAAACGATTAAGTTTAAGTTTTCTGGATTGACTGACTGTTGGCCTTTGAAAGGTTGGTGATCAATAAATTTATTTCTTAAGCCTTGCTTTACCAGTCCTGTATCACTTTATTTACCGGGTCCAGCGGACTCAAAAACACCTTTTTCGTCTGTAGCACTCATAAATGCAGTGGGCTATTTGACAAGTACGACCGCTATTTTATTACATAAAAATTTAAACTTAAAAGTTTAACTTCTCTTCAGGACAAACTCGACCTTTATTGATTGGGTTTTATTGGCGGTCATGCTGTAAATCCGGGCTACACAGGAGTTGCAGTGGTGGGAAGTTGGGAACGAGAGGTGGGAATAGTCCCGTTATTCATTTAAAAATACGTACATCACAAGGAGGGGTCAGTTCCTGCTGCTGCCTCCGTTGCTGCCCGCCCTTAAATCTAAACAGATCTGATCGCTTCAGAGCCCGATTCTCGGCCGCTGCCACTCTGTACCTTTGGTCTACGCATCTCTTGCAATGCCATGACGCCCCTGGAAGAAATTAACATTTTTAATCATCGAACCACTTTAGCAACTTTAGCCGAAAATGTACAAAAAAATGAAAAATATTTCAAGTAAATTTATAAAGATTTTTTAACTGACATTTAGTCGTGAACCAAAACACATACGTGATTTTTTTAGCTAATTTACATACAAAAACATTGTTATTGAAGGATAACATGACTGAAATGCTGAGTAGTTATGGGAAAAGGGACATGCCAAACTGAAGCTGTTACGAGACAGATAGATCCAGCTTCTAACTTAGGGGGCTGGGGTCATACACACAAACACGTAACATGGAGTGCCCATGTAGAAATATGCAATCTGTTTTCCCCTGCTCTCTACTGAGTATGCCTATGGAATAGACTATTCCCTGTTTTCACCATCAATCCCTAATTTTTAAGTGAGGGCTCACTTGGTAACACATACAACAGGAATTTTGTTTTCATAGGGCTCACTTAAAACTTAGGGATGATGGTGAAAACGGCCATATCAATACCAATGAGGGCTATCGTTTTTATACTTAACAGTTGGCACCCCTGGCGATTGACAGGACCTTACTCTACAGTGGCACCATCTTGATGAGTGCAAATGCGATAGTCCTCCTACCACTTTAGCGCTCACAAGTTGGCGCCACTGTCTCCGCTACTAGCAAGTGACAGGACCTTACTCTAACTGGTGAGCGCTAAAACGATAGCCCTTATTGGCTACTTACCACTGATCCACGACTCCACAGGCGGCGAGTGGCACTTCGCGTGGTATCCCCTGCCGCACATATCGCAAGCGATGATCGCGTTGGTGGCAGGACTGGCCGCGGGGCCCTCGCGCCTCTTGCAAACCACGCACATGATACGCCCGTCGTCCGCCGGAGGAGCACTCAGCAGCTTGAGAGTAGCCACCGATGCCCATGCGTGGGTACCATCTCCGAAATTGACTAAACATCGCGCCACCCCCGAACCAACTTCACACGAATCGTTGTCGTTGCTTGTGCTTAATTCCACAATTGTGCCTGTATTGATAAACGGTTACGGTAAAAATTAAAAATGCAGCATTCTAAAATAAACTACTAGAAATGCACCTACGTTTTTTTATGACAGTTACACTTGGTTTATTACATGACATCATTGACAATTATTCTGGTGGTGTGTTTTGTGTGGTAACTTGATCACTAAATAAAGTAGGAATGGTCTTTAAAATTTACTAATTTTATTTTACCTTATGACATAATTCCTCTATTAGTGATGCTTAGCATAACTTATTACATTAATGTCATAATAAGTACTGAAAATGAGTCAACAGAGCCATTATAATGTCATTAAATATTGCTTTATAATTACTGCATGTTCTAAGCAACAAGAATAACATGACTCAAAAATGTTACAGGCATAACCTATATTATATTGATTGAATTACTCATGAAATAGATTAAAAACAATAACAAGTAAGACCTATACATACCTAAATAGTAGCGGCCATCCTTGTTGGGGACAAGGACATCAACTCCGCAGTGGAATGGGTTGGCATTGTTCTTTTCCGTGTTGGTAGTAGAGTCTGGCATCGCATCCTGTGTTTCTTCTTCTTTTTTCTCATTCTTTTTACTTGCGCATGGTGTAATTGTCTTGTCAAGGTCGCTCAGGAGTGCATCGATCAGTGACAATTGTGTGGTGACCTCTTTGAGAAAGAAAAACGAGTTATGAATGAAATTGTATGAAAAACGTTTAATCTAGAAGTAAGTTTTATGATATAATGATAGTTTTATCAACTGATTTTTATGCAAGATATTCATGGTGTAGATTCAGTAATATCAGTTTACAGGTTATTTTTATAGCAATTAAAATTTAACAATGTTTGAGCATCTTGATCACACTAATACAATGCAATTTGTTCATAAGGTTTGCTATACATATTTACATTGACATTATCTTTAACTTAAAATACTTACATGTAATTTGTTTTCCCATCCAAAGAAGCAGATATAAAAACAATTATAATTAATAATTTGTTGGTGATGCTGGGTGAAATTACAATAGTGGAGACTAGTGGAGAATATTGATATACTTTTGCTTCTTACTTCAAACTTTTACTAATCCATAGAAATGATTCTTGGTAATTTATAAATGTGATACTTTATACCTAGTATTATTAATATAACTTCTATCTTACAAAGCATGTACTAACAGTCTGGATATCTTGAAGAATTCACAGAATGCTCTGGCTCAATGTTCTCTCAGAAACTCTGACCCAACATGTCACACAAGTTGAGATTTTAGGAAATATACCAAAGAGAATACAATTAAACTACTGGGTTACAATTAAGCCTTCTATGAAGATAAATTATTGTGAAATCCTCTTTTCCTCCAGGTCCAACACTGTTTGTTAGCTGTGGAACTTAACTACTTAAAAATAATAATGTCATTTTGTCAAGTGACATGAAACCCCGCCGCCCTCAAGTAAAACCAATGGTGAGAAGAATGTTTTTCATCTAAATTAGAGGAATGTAATGTAGCCATTGGCATGTTGACGAATCAATTAGGTTCAGCTTTCCAAAATTCTCTCGTTTAGTATATTGCTCATTTATCATTTGTCAATCATGGCGTGTTGAACACCATTGTAATTATTTATGTAGAATAGTAAATAACTGTGTATCTATTGAAATAGGACACGTTGAGTAGAGTACCTCAATGTTAGGCGATCACTCTGAATCTAACGAAAAGGTATCCATGTTCAATACAATAAAAATATAATATAATAATGCTTACCTGCGTTGATGTCCATTTCAATTAAGGGATTCTAACTCATAAACATGATATAAAAATCATAACTAGCACTCCTAGCCTAAATAATGCTGAAGAACAAACATGAAGAGCATTGGCGCTATTGCGGCCATTATAGTAGTCAAACGTTTCACAGTTTTCCCGCGGTACAAAATAACAAGTTAAGATTTCTAAGTTGTGTCTTCATAAATAGAACAATATTAATAACCAGTTCACTTCTTCACTTTACTTTAATAAAAATTTACCAAAAATGATATGAAAACATTAAAAATTAAAAAATAACCCATAATTCTCGATCAGCCTTTCAACTCAATTTTACTAGACATACTCTCTCTCATCTGTGATTTTACATTGCCAAGTTCCATTACACGAACAATAACCAAAAATGACGATAGTTCTGTCTCTTTTTAAAATTGTGTTACAAAGAGAGACAGATGCATTTACACAGTAGGTAATGAGAATAAAATCACTTGAAACGGAGCGTTTCTAAATGTTGCCATAACTATTGAGAGATATTTTAAATTGGAGAATGGTTTCAAATAACATTATAACGATTAAAATTATTAAAAATCTTAGCTTCAACAAGGCGTGCAGGGTGAAGAAAGTAAAGTTTTTGGTGTCTTCATAAACATACGCCTCCTCCAATGATTTCCATGATAGCGTAGCGGACTGCGGCAGATCAATTATCAAATATTTACACTACATTTATTTGCATATACAAATCTTTTTTAACCGACTGCGCCAGAAGGAGGGTTATGTAGCACGTAGAATTTTATCCAATGACTCCAAGCTACCCATCCTTATCACTCGCGCGTAATTAATTATACAGGGTGGAAACGATGGTCATTGGATGAAATTCTATGTGCTCGGCGACCGGACTTTAGTTGAGGTATTGCTTTTTGGAGGGCTAGCCTACAATACATTATTACACAGTGAGTGAACAGTGGCGATTTTTTTTCCTCGAGATTCGAGATTGATTGCGTCTAACTACCTATTTCTGTCTTCTGGTGGTGATGTGCTATAATGGACAACGCACACATATCAACTCGGAAAGCTATCGTAATCGTATCAACTCGAGAACTGGGCAGGGCCCCTACTACGTGGATACCAATCTGGATGAGGTCGCGGGAGGTCCCTGAATGCGGGGAGCGCTGGACCGGTCGTTGTGGAAATCCTTGTAGGAGGCGTCTGTCCAGTAGTGGACCTCATTTGGATGATACGAACGTACGAATGAGATTCAATTTATCTGGTGCCTTCAGTGGTGGTGGTCAACGAGCGGCGAGCCTTATGCGCTGCGTCACCTATTCGTAGCCGAGTTAACGTACACACGGCCACACTGTTAACTATCCATTTCCTTTTTTGCTCTCGCTCTAATCAAATGGCGATTCTTTGCGATAGAACGAGATGACATGACTAGAGATGGGTTTCCACCCGGGTAAAACCCACACGAGGGTAAAAACCCAATAAAAACCCGTTTCATTACACCCGTGGGTGTTTACACCGGGTGAAAACAAATAATTTTATAATTATTTCAATTGGTATCTTTTCTTTATTTTTATTGAATTTTTCTCATTTAAGTTTATTGATTAATAAGTAATAAGTCAAATTTAACACTAATATGCATTTATATCGTGGCCAAATCGTAAAATTGATCACGTTAAGATGATCTGACCAATTATTTTATAAAATGGTGTTATTTCAAGAATCGTTGTACCGATTAGAAGAAATTTAGTAGGAACACAATAATTTGTGAGCATGGAGGACATGGAGGGGGGGGGGGGGATGCCAAAGATGCCAAACTCTCTCTTTGATGACATTACGGTATAAAGTTACAAATAACAACATCAACTACAAAGTACTTCTGCTTAAAAACTTGAAATCGAACCGCCCTTCCGCCAGTGTAACGCATTGTAACGTTTTTCAAGACCTCCTCTCCCCCCAGATTGCATTACGTAACACTAGAACGCCCCCTTAGCAACAAATACCACTTCTCACTTTAAAAAAACGCTATTTTTGTTTTCACCCACCAGAATGGGTGATAATCACCCAGTTTTAACCCACGGTTGATGCTGATGCCTACTTGACGGCGAAGTGGAAGACGATACGGTTACGATTAGTTACGATCCCTTTCTAAGCTGATAAGTGTGCTATGACCTTAAGGTCACATTGTCCTTGGGCACTTGGGGCATATTTGCACGACAGTCGAAACTACTGCAATTTTTTACAATGGCAACTTGCGTCGATGTCAGTGTCAGTGTAATGAAATAATGATCTGTCAAAAAATATTGTTTTCTTTCTGTGACGAAGACCATAATTTGGAAATTAATAAAAATTAAACTTATTTAATTGAATAAATAGTAACCAGTACCAGTAGAAGTGGAGTTAATAAAAGGACGATTTAGTTGTAGACGCATATACCTAAACGGACATGCTGTAGTGCATTTAACAGGCAACAATGGGTAATGCAGGCTTGAAACAACACTATGAAACTGCTTCTAAAACAGGTGTTTTACAAATATCTGACCACAAACTCAAAGACATTCCACCAGAAGTTATAAGTCTAAGTGAGAAACTCAGAAATCTAGATCTATCTAAGAATAGACTGTCTTATTTGCCAGAGGAATTAAGCAAGTTTAAACTATTGAAGCAACTGAATTTGGAAAGCAACAAATTAGAAATGGTACCACATTATGTTGCCAATCTGCAAAAGTTGGAGCTGTTAAACATCTCTAATAATTCAATCCAATCATTGCCACATACATTCTGTAAATTGTGCAATTTGAAACAAATTTATTTGAATAACAATAAATTCAAACAGTTTCCAGTGCAATTGCTGGGTATTTCTAATTTAGAGGTAGTGGACCTCTCTCATAATAAAATAACTGAAGTACCAACGGGCATGTCAAACTTCTTTGCAGCAGAGTTAAATTTAAGTCAAAATGAGATTTCTGCATTAAGTGAAGATTTACATCTAGCTCCAAGATTGAAAATATTAAGATTAGAAGAAAACTGCTTGAGTCTTGAGGCTATAAACCCAAGTTTGCTTAGAGATTCAAAAATACACACAATGAATTTGGATGGTAACTTATTTGAAGTGAAGCAGTTGGCTTCCGTTGAAGGATACAATGAATACACTGAAAGATACACCGCTATGAAGAAAAAAATGTTTTGATGTTTGAATGTATTTATCACATCTTAACTTTATACCAAATATCACTAGTTACTTTAAACTATCATATTTTTATATAAACATGTACACACCACAATTATGTTAATTTATTTTCACTTTATTGAATTTATTGCTTTTTACTATTACTCACCCTAGCTAGACTGAAATTATGTAAATATATGTTATCTATAATTTGAAGAAATATTAATTTATACAATAATAATGTTAGAATATTAAAAATAACTGCTCAAATGTTATGGAAATCACCAGTATAAGTACAAGCAACAGTCTGTGTCATTAAATATCTAATTCTTGTATTTAATAATTTTAAATTCTTACCCATAATACAAGACAGTTTTATTGGAATAAATAGCAAATATTTTTAGATGGTTAATTAAATAACATCTTAGATTTTACCACAAAGTTACTTGTACTCCCATTTAATCCTAAACTATTTGTGCACACATGGCGGCATTACAATAATGGTTGATTAAAAATGTGATAATAATTCCTTGATTGAAATTAATATTTTCTGTTTAGTGTATAATCAAATTGCATTTTGATTGTGGCAAAATAAGCGTGTTTACTGTGAATTTTTTAATCTATGTCTGTCTACCTATTAGTACATACATGATAATTTCCTTTCATTCTTAATCAATTCCGGCGTGGATGGATGTGGATAAATAAATTATTAAAATAAAATTGTCTCTCAATTCAATAAGCGTGTTCTCAAACTTGTTTCCATTATACGAACAATACGAACATAGACGGCGCGCGGCACATAATTTCTATAAAGGCCGACCAAGTACGAGTTTTAGTATTTGTTTTTATACTTAGCGGCAATAGAAATAGGAATATGAGAATATCATCTGTGAAAAGTGAAAATTTGAACTGTCTAGCTATCACGGTTCATGCGATACAGCTTGGTTGGTGACAAAAAGCGAAGTCTTATTGGACTCCCGTTTTACCCATTGGGTACGGAACCCTAAAAAAGGTATAAGTTTACTTCAGTTTGCTTATTTTGACGATCAAACATCCTACTTACGCTCTGAGAGACACGTGCTTGGTCGATTTCCAAATTATGTAATACGACCGGGAATCGAACATGGGGCTGAGTTCAAGGTGATTCGGTGTCAATTATGTCATCGGATCGTCGATTATCGTCTTGTTTTATACACGGACGTCCTTGGCTATAGGACGATATAACATGACGTTATCTTTGCTACACCAAGCATATTAAAGGAGGTACAGCTACAGGTTACACCTCATGATCATTTATGGGAGAACGATTTGGGGCCCTACATAAAGATTTCTTATTGAATTTCTTCAAAGTAAATTAATGATGTTACTATTTATTTCAACTGCACTTCAGAAATGTATCGTGCGAGCGGTACTTACTCAAACAATACTACATAAGTAGGTACAAGCTTTGCTTAGTATTGGGACTTTAGAGGCGTATTGTAAAATATCCAAGGATGGTATTTATTTATTATTTATTTAATACTTGAACTACCTATGACCTAACCGGTCCGTCTTAGGTAGCTAAATAAGTTAGTTGTTCTTTTATTAACTGTAAAATAGTCAAATTGGAATGTGTCAGTCAGCCAGCCCTAGCCCTATTGTGTGTCTCAAAGCGGCCCATTCACACGCGTGGGCGCGCCTCAGACCTACTAACTGACATAACGTAGGTACCATGTTGCCAACGTCAAATAGTACTATCGGATGAAGCTATCGCGAGGCACTCGGTCATCATCATACGGCCCAAGCGCGCGGTGAGTAGTTACTTAGTGATGTACTACGACATTTCGACTCCAGTGTAATGCTGGCTTTCGGACAACAGTGGCGTGTCTGTGCGCATAATCCAAATAAAAATAAAAACTCGATTAAGTATTTTTATGAAAGAAAAATGCAATTACCAAGTTATTAATTTTAATCGTTTAGGAGTGTGAGTGCCAAAACATTGGTGTTTAGGTGGTCGTAAGTTTAATACTTAATCTCAATAAGGGAACAAAAGTATATTGTTATAGGATCGTACGACTAGAGCGAACTGCTCTTTTGAACTGCGCTTAACAGGTCAGTACCTAAAGCTTAATTCAATTTAAAGCACATTTATTAATAAACAGTTTAATATTTTTATTTTATTAAGTAACTACCTACTTACTTCACTATTATATTAACATGTGTTACTTTTTTACTATGTACTTATTAGGTAGGCAGTGAATTATGGGTTAAGCTTAAGTTGGCAAAATTTTAACATCACCTGATCTGACTGAACAATCTTTTATGTTTGCAAATTGCATGTTGTTTTCTGTCGTAAAACATACTTTACATTTGTTTGAAGACAGACCGTGTGTAAATTAATTCATCCCGATAAGATGCGACCTTACTGAAGGATTTCCTTCTCAAGAACACGAAGTTATGGAAAGAACGTGAAAATAGCCAAAACCGTATAATAAACCGGATTTTTTATGGACAGCATTTTACCAGAGAAGTATAATAAAAGGAACGAAACATTACTTTCCTTCTTTACTTTTATCGGGAAAAAAGTGGACAATTAGTTTTGCGAGATTCTTTCTTATATTAATTACCTTACCTACTACTTATTTACTTCTATTTTGGATTTTATTAATGTGAAAAAATAAATTGAATTGGAAAATAAGGGCATAGTAGGCGTGTTATATTATTTGCCTACAAAACAAAATGCTTGGTCATTTCATAGGTTTCTAAACTGCATAGAAACAAAATGTTTTATTAATCATTGGATTAAAAGCCTTAAAACCTTATCTAAAAAGTAATTTATAATAAACATTCCTGGGGAACTATAATCAGTTTAACACGTTTGTACTCAGTGCAAATTGTTGTGTAATTTGATAGTGTCCAATCTCTAGCGCATGGGTTTGCCCGGCCCGGGTTCGATTCTCGCTCCAGTGGGGTGGGGTCACTATTGAAGGTAGGATAAACTACCGAAATACATTATCTCGTCTTGTAAAATGGGATGGGGATGTTGTTCTAGTTTTTGTCTGGTTACTACTTTTACTTACATTAGGTAGGTACTATCGCTATAACATCTTGTAAGCTATCTTTCAATAAAATCAATATTCACAAAGGTACTTCGTACCACTTCGTACTTAGTTACGTGCGCAAGTAATATTTTGCAACAGTTTATTTTTGGGTGCGCCATATTATGTAGATTAAAAAAAGATATTGAAGATTATCTACTTATTATTTATGTACTAACATGTTCATGTCCTCATAACAGTAGTTTAATGCCTACTTTGCTATGTTGCAACCGGATTAAAGATTAAAAACAGTCCTGTTAGCGTTACTAACTAACTGAATGATTATTATAATTGATAGTGATTGTTATTTATGTATTTCATATTTTTCCAACTTCAGGCGTGATTTACTAGGTAACTTTTAATTCATTATTTATTTAACACATAACTTTACATTCAAGAACTGTTTTAACTAGACGTTATAAATTGATTATTTTAATGTTTGCTTCACATAACACAAACGCAGAAGGAACAACCTGAAAAACTGAAATTTTACTAAGGGTAATGAGAGATGAACGAAAGTTACGAAAACGAAAATTTAGGCCTCTAGTAGGTATTGTAGAGCTGTAACAAAATAAATGACAGAAAGATCTAATTTGTTATGAAATCTAACTGGTTCCTAATAAAGTAATAATAGCACATTCTCCAAAGAACACACCCACTACTTAGTGAAAGTTTTGATGTAATACAATTTGAACTTTCTTCTTGCATTATACTTAAACATTGAATTTAGTATAAAAATCATCACTAGCTTTTAATCCTAACAATTTTGAGTTTTTACGCAAGATTATAATGCACCTACACAGACAACTTTGCTTTGCTGAGTTACTACTTGCTAAAAGCTGAAAGTAGGTACTATTACGAAGTTTTATAATCCCTTCACTTCAAAATTAAGTCTAGACATAGATATCGATATTGGTTCAGCGAAACACAAAATGAGAGGCAGTATTATTTTATATCAGTGCTTACTTATGCAATTAATTGCATTGTAGTTTTTATATTTTATGTAGGTAAGTAGGTAGATACTAAGTAGCTTAGTTTAGTTTGTTACGTTGTTGTTGTAAGTAGATCTAAAAACACTGCAATATTCATACCAACTCTACAATGCAATTTACTGCATTTTCTTTATTTTAAATGCCACAATATATTTATATTTTTAAAAGATAAAATACTTAATAAATATCCACGTTCAGTCATGAAGCCGGGGTCATGTTTGTTTTTTTCCGTACACCCTCATGACCGCTAGATGTACGCGCGTTATCTTTCTGATAGTGAACCCGCGGTCCACGGTCAGTAGGTAATAGAATCACGTGCATGGAAAGTGGGAGATGGTTGACTTTGACACTATTACTTATAAAATATCTATAATCACGGAACAACACATTGCGCTAGTGTGATTTTATTATCAATCTGCCAATAAACACTAATAGGTCCGCTTCCAATCCAATTAAAACTCTAGGGAAAATTATGCATAAGATAAGTAGCTAGCTATCTTACATTTTTATATTGAGTCCTGTATAATGCCCGAGCTTATCTACTTTATTATTAATATTTTCCACTAAGTTAATTAGCTCTTATTTAATAAGTAAGTACTAATACTTCGCTACTTAGGTAGTAATCTGGTAACCCTATCTTTCCTTTCCTTTCTTACTCTACTTAAGTAGAGGTAGGTCGCAGCAGATACCTATCATTTTGGTCAAATCTGCCACTAGTCACATCACTAGTGAGTGGCTATGCTAGTCGGGTGATAAGTTCTAGATTACCTAGAAGATAGAGTTCCATAAAGTTATGTTAGTCGTTCCAACTTGTAAAGTAGGTACGAGGGTGCCTATGACACCATGTTATTGCGTGTATGTGTAGATCCCACGATAAAGTTGTATTTGTTAATAATGTCATATCTTGATTTGTTTATTTACCTACAATTTTCTAGGTTAGGTATACTTATTTCCGCTCATGAACATGATTATTTCATTCACGGATGTTTCAAAGGATTACCTACCTGCTAGGTATTAGTGAAATGATTAATTAAAGACGATAATCAAGGTAGGTGATTGCGTAACACACAATCACTAATACCTACTTGTCTTTAGGGGCCATCCATAAAGTACGTCACACGAATTTCATGATTTTTTTACCCCCCCTCCGTCCTTGTCATAGGTGGTCACATTTCTGAGACCCCCCCTCCCTAGTGTGACGTCACATGTTTTGCAATTTCACATCGAAAAATTATTAAATTAACAGCAGTTCCGAAATTAGTTTTATTTCCATTTAAATTAAGTTCATTTTTTTATGAAATCAACATTATATCAAATATTTAAAACAATTGAAATGTGATGTCACGAAACTTAGGACCCCTCCCACCCCTTGTCACACNATTTCCATTTAAATTAAGTTCATTTTTTTATGAAATCAACATTATATCAAATATTTAAAACAATTGAAATGTGATGTCACGAAACTTAGGACCCCTCCCACCCCTTGTCACACCATGTCACACTTTGTCAACCCCCTCCCCCCCTCTTTACGTGTGACGTACTTTATGGATGACCCCTTATTGGCATGTAAATATGCATGAAATATTAAAGTCATTAAAATAATTTATAGCTAAGTTAAACAGCCATTGTTGTGCAAGCAATAATTATAGAAGATAATGTATAAAAACGTCTTTCAGTGACATCTGCCTGCTAAGTGCTAAGTAATTGACACGTCTTAAAAACAAAAACACAGGTGGAAAGCGAGAAAACTTGAAAAACTTATAGCTTCTCACTGATGCTCAATTGGATATTTATTTCCCCTTTTGTTTAATGTGTTAATTAATTTTGATTTAGGTAGGTACGATTAATTACCAATAGTTTATATAAACATTTATAAACAGCCCTTTAAGTTAAAACGAGAAGATCAAATCCCATGTCCTATTTATGTACTAATAATATCGACTAATTAGATAAATTATTCATATCAATGCGCAAACAAGGACGATTCACGTCACAGGGTGTCGTTAGACCAAAGACCATTTATCTCGATTCCCTTATTTCATCTCTATAAGATATGGAATGACCTGAAAGATAAGGAATAACTTTATAGCTGCAATGCAAAGGATTATAAAACCTTTGGGGTTTTCCGCATTTTCCTCAATTTTCCTCGTAGTTTTTTAAGCAAAGTAATTCTAAGTAATCCGTTCTGTGGTCACGCGTTTTCTACTTCTACTTACAGGAGATTCAGGTCTAAGTACTTTGCAACCAAATAAGAACTTATCTCTCAGATACCATCTCTCAAACAGTTTTACAGTCATAGATAGATAAGTAGAGATGGTAGAGTCATCGGTAATAAGCCCCCTTTACGTCAGGTAAGTAACTATCGTTACTTTATCAGGGACCGGTGATAGGTCAATGGAAATAGATACAAAGGTCAGTTACCTATGTCAATTAAAATTCATGCTTTTTATGCAACTATAGGTATGTTATTAGGTACTGAGAGAACAAAAGGCGGAAAAAATGCATGTAAGGTACAAGTACCTACATGTTTTTAGATCTTACACGATAATCTGTGACACAACATGGAGTTGGTACGTGACCACTACTTAGATAACGAATGACATACTTACTATAGCATGACAAATAGTGCATATGAATAGGTATACCATAATTTTTCATAACCCACAAATAGATAATGGCCAAGTCATCAACACTCACATCTACTAATCGCCTGCCTACATGTCGATATCATTTTATCTAAATTATTTCATAATACAGGTGATGTTAATCGTAATAATCGAATGTAAATAAGTACCTAGCTGAAATCAGCTGAAATCACAATGTAATTCAGTTAGTGGAAATCTCTCGAACGTAGTTAAGTACACGAGTAGGTAGGTACTTACTAAAAAAGCTTTTCCTGTAAGCTACAGTTTGCTATAAGTAGGGCTATACTTTTAGATTGTTATTTGAAGATAGAGTTAGTACAGAATAGAGTTTAATACCTTAAAATAACTGAGTTGTTATTGAGGAATGGAGGAATCGAAAGAGATCTAGTCACGAGAAAAGAACTTAGCTCTTTTGGAGTCTAAATAATGACTAATTAGGTAGGTACTTACTTAGTATCTTTTCGTGTTATATTGCAATTATTATAAGTGAATGTATTTTGTTTCAGGAACGTATGTAGGAAACACAAAAATGACGGCACTTAACGCAGTCAACGTCGTGCTTGGGTGCATTATGGCACTCCTCATCATATTGTTTACCATCAGCTCTATTGCCAGATATTATATCAAGGTAAGTAAGATAACCTTCATAATAGTGATATATTTAAATAACATTTAATAAGTATATTTTAAAATAAACCACTTTTTAACAGTGTTTTGGTTTTCATAAAATCATCTTTGCTTTTTTGTTCCTTTAAAAGTACTTACCTATCACTTTCAGTCAACTATAAAATGTTACTAAGCCCTTTATGCTGAAAAGTATTGTTATTGCAATATTTTTTCTTCAAATTAGATTATGAGATTAATTGGATTTAAGGCTTCAAACAAAATGAGTCTCTGAGTTTTATTAAGTCTTTAAGTAGGGCTTCTGAAAGTCTGAGAGAGTGTTTCTTTTTTTTCAGTTTACATTATTTATTGTTTTATCGTTGATATTCGCTTCGGCACCGCTACCTTTAATGTTGCTTAAGCGGTTTGACCCGAGGAATGCATTGTAAGTATTTTTATTTACTTACTTATTTAATTAATTATTACGAATCGAATTATACCATTTTTTTTAAATATGAGCGCTCTATTTATCACGAATTAATTTTTAACGTCCATGCAACGTTGTATTATGGGTCTTTGCATTGTTTATTATTTATTATACTTTTTGTCCTCGCTTACAGTTCTAACTGCAATCCTGGCTTGACTACTTACCTAGAGTACTTAAAAAAGTAACTGATAACACACAAAGTATTAGCTTACAGTTTAATAGCAGTAACGTTTAACACCTTTACAGCTCTTATTTGCTTTCCTAATTGAATGATTTTTGATCGTATTATTGTTATTTTGTGTTTTTTTTAATATAAAAATATTTAATAAGTAGGTAAGTAAGTACATACTTATTATGTAATCAATCTTAACTTATAAATAGCTACAGAGAGAGATTGACGTTTAGGTATTTTATAAGTTAGGATAAAAGGCCTTTGTTTACTTTCATGCATAACCAAAAAGCCAAAAATAAAATTATTTGCATGCGTTAAGCAGGAATGAATTTTAATTATTTATTAATGTTATTTATTAGACGTACTTTCGACCCTTTTGTCTCTAAGTTGAGTGCGGCTGCGCCCAAAATGTGGGTAATTAATTTGTTTTGTACTCTAAACAACCTTGGGACGATAATCCGAATCCGGAGTAGGTGATTAATAAGAAAGTATATTTTTATTGATTATATTACTCAGTTATGATAATCACACATCCTGTGATTTAGTAGATACTTACCTACACGATTACTCATACACACCTACTTATTAGATCGATAAAATTTTTACCGATAAAAGATACCTTGCAATTTTTAGCTTGTCATCAAGTCAAGGTAGAGTCGACGTAGTTGTCAACAAATGATTTAATATTACTCATATGGACTTTGCAATACAATACCTACCCGGTATATTTCCTAGTATAGTCCATCGTATCTATTTATGAACTTTGAACTACATCTAATGTTATTTAAATATAAGCCAGGCGATGTTTACTTAATACCTAATACGTATTCAATTCAATGTCATGTTTTTAAAATTTGTAGCATTGGTAAGTTTAAAAACTAAATTCTTAAATACTTGCAAAAAAATCGATTGCCTCAGGGAGTGGGAATCGAACCCACGATCTTTCTTATGGAGATATTAGGGGTAAATTGTGGCAATCGATTTTTTCAAGTTAGATTTTTATAAGAATCAACATTTGACATTATTTTGTTTATTGAGCGTAGGTTCTTTCGGTGTTTAGGTAGGTAATCCCTGCTTGTGCTTCTTCAAAGCATGTTGCGAATTCTTAAGTTTTAACTATTATGACTCAATGACTTGTGTGCTAAGTGTTTCCCGCTAACAACTTTACCGAAATTCATTGATAATGTTGGCAGAATACCAGCGGCACTTTTGCGGCTCACAGCGAGGTCCCTCGGCATTCGGTGGACTGTTCGAGGGCTGGAGAACGTGGACAACTCGCGAGGAGCCGTCATTCTTCTCAACCATCAAAGTGGACTTGATCTCTATGGTATGTAAGTCTTTTTACTTATCCGTTCTAATACAAGCCGGGGGTAATCCCTTGAGGGGAACACCACATCATGCCACCATTTATGTACATTTACCTAATATGCTTCGCAAATAAAGATTTTCGTATTTGTATTTGTTTTAAAAATACGGCGGATGTTGTAAAATCCAAGGTCAACATAGGGTGTGCAAAAAAAAAATTAGAACACCTTTTAGCACGTAATTGTTACTTATGTACCTACTTAGTGACATAAGTAAGTATACCTACAACCAAACAGCGACACAAGAAAAAAGTATCGAGTTAAAAGGCTTGCGATGAATAGGAAAATGGTTAAGAGGAAATCTTTGTCGCGTGCTCAGTGGGGTTATTGTCTATGAGTAATAACAAAATAGTCCAGAGATGATGATACAAATTGTTTGTGTTTGTTCGAAATCGCCAGCATTCAATGTGTCGGCTTCATAATAGCATAATGACGTGACGATGGCCATTGAGTTGAGATCACCACTAAGCAAACGCAATAAAACATTTGAGGAGTTTCCTGTTAGTACGGTTTCTATTGTGCAAATAATACGCAACCGAGGCACTACAAAGTGGTGATTGTCACCGGGGAACTGATTGATGAACGTCTTTGAAGGGTCCTATCTTGTCAATGAATCTTTTATGACGTATGATGGGGAATGAATCGAATTTGATTTTATGATCCAAGGATATACTTAGCGACCTTTGACTTTGCGCCCAAATGGACGGGTGGTCAAGTGGATTTTGTCCTTTAGATTAATGATGTGTTTTTCAAACTCAAAATAAAGTTCATATTATTATGCTTATAGGTAATCATTGTGTATCATTTTGCTACTTTATTATCGTCATTCGCTCGCCTTATATGCTCTGTTATCTGAGGTAGAGTCGGTGCAGCATGTTTTCCTCTTCCTGGTATTTCAGTCACACTTAAGTAATTCTACTTTTTCAGTAATTACTGTTCTTATTATTTTTTACACTAATTTTGTTTTGGCATCTGGTAAGTGCAGCATGGATGGACTGGACAAGGCAAAACAATAGGTACTTACCTACTTACGCAAGCTGTAGGTCGAATAGTAAAAAATTAAGATTAGTGTCTGTCCATCGATACTCATAATAAAAATAATGGTTTAAAACTTCTCGACTACTTACAAGTTATGGTTATTAGCGTGTAGCCCTTGACTCGTACCTACTTATCAGATTTATTAATGTTTACAAGGATCTAGCACGTTGTGTTGATTGATGTTCAAGGAAAAATAGAGGTATGGCAGTTTTTTAAGAGACTTAACTAATAGGTGCTTCTACCTACTTAATAGTCCTAAACGGGTTCGATGGCTACAGCAGGTTAGATATGAATCTAATATTGATTGGCAAAATGATGATGGGTTGCAATATCAATCCACATACTTAATTAATGCTTCTGAAATTTCAATCCAAAAGCTCTACATCAGTTTATTATTTTGTAAAGCAAGAAACGTGGTTTTTGTTCTATTCTGTGCTACTTTCAGTTCTTGTACAATACTATTTTCTTCATTGATTTTTAATATCAGCAGTTCAGTGACTGTAACGGACTGGTAGGTTGGTCGACAGGCATCAGGCAGTATTGTAGAGACTAACCCTGCATAAAAGTGAGAACATTTAGGAACTATTGCTGTCATTAAGCAAGTAACAAAATAGTTTCATGCACATAATGTTGTTGCACTTCATTAATATCGTGCTAAAGGGACAACCTCAACCTTTTCAGTGCTGGCAGTGCTATGGCCGTTGATGGCAAGGTGCACAGTGGTGGCCAAGCGCTCGCTGCAGTACTTGGTGCCTTTTGGAACAGCTGCCTGGATGTGGGGCACAGTGTTCATAGACCGGGGCGCGAAGTCCGCGAGAGACGCCCTCAACAAGCAAGCGGAGGCGATACAGACGCACAAGGTTGGCCTTATTATCACTAGGAGCATCATTTGATTAGGATGCGCGTGCATGTGAATTAATTCCTTATGTAGATCAGGGTTTTCAAACTTCCAATTCATTCGTCCTATCCCACTTCTATTGAATTTTTGGACGACTGCGAATGTTTAAATTTCAGTCTTTGTACTAAATCGGTTAAGTAGTGTAAAATGTGCACAGTGCACACACTTGTTTTTTTTAATTATGATTTTGATTGCTAATGTGATGGGTAGTCTAAGCTAAGGGCTTGTATTTGTCAGAATTTTAGACCATCACGTCACTATTATTATTTGACGTGATTAATGTAAACAACGATCACTGGCGAACTCTGGGGGGTCGTGTATTCTAGTTTGAGAAACATAGGCTTAGATTATATAGACTAACTAATTAATACCTAAGTGCGCGTGACTCATTGGCCTGGCATGGCAGAATGTTATGTTTAGCATAATTTAAACTTTGACAAGGAGGTGTCTTGTTTTCGTTAGTCGTGTCGTGAAATACACGCGTTCACTTTCATTCGGGTGCCGTTGAAAGTCCGCTCACGATTTATTGTGCTTGGGTTGAGTAATAATGCGTTTGGCAATTCGATATTTTTTAACATCCTCTGACCTTTGAGGACCTTATCTATGTTAACGTTCTAGGTTAACGAATTTCTTCGTCAGTATAAACCTTGAATGTGCTTAAATGACACAGCTCAATGAGATAGACTGAAAAAAATCTTGAAATTCCTAAAATAATGTTTACTCATTTATTTTAAATCTACTGGATCGGTAAGTTTAAGCTAAACTTTAGCCGAAGCTTATGTTATCGACTACCGAGCCGCTAAACCAACGCAATCGGTAGGTATGATGAGTGACGTGGTGAATCGCTTTGAACCCAGAAAATGGGTTCAATTCTAATAAATTGGCTCATGATCACGATCAAAAAAGATATTTGGTCGTTATTTTCAAACTGACACATAAGTCATTTGATTCATTCATTGTTAAAAGAAAGCAAAAATTAAAAGATCACCCACGAATACTAATCTTCAAAGATTGATAGTAATCAATCTTTGAATAGATAAGCCAAAAGATATCTGCAAATTAGTAAATTTGCAGATATCTTTTGGCTTATCTATCGATAGTAAATCCGATTAAAAATAATATAATAATAATAAAATATAATAATAAAATCGTTTATTGCAAGAAAAACAATTACATTTTTCATATTAATCTTGGACTCCACACTAGGCAAGCCTGTCTCGTGGAGGCCAGGAGATAACTTTACGGGCCATTNAATAAAGAGTTGTCTGACGCTAAGCAGGTTACATTCTCGGTAAAGAAGATCTGTTGGAAATAGGCGGTTTTTAAATAGCATCACCTTTAGAACTGAGCGCTGAGATCTTTCTAGTTGTAGTAGTGTAGAAGTTGCTGTACCACCCCAAGCTGTGATGCAGTACGTAATAAAAACGTATTAAGTACCTGCCCGTAATTTATGCCACTAATTTCAACATAATTAGTAGGCACATCACCTTTGACCGCTCATTGAATTACTTAAACAATGGCTGTTCCACCTATTTTCATACATTTCAACATTTGAAATCTGCTGTCTTCGTACCTTGCCCTGTCCTATTAGCATAACACAAAAACTCACAAAAAGTATTTAAAACACATTTTTACGTAAATACTTTTAACTAATCATTATAAATCATAGCCTAGGTCAGTGACACAGCTCATGTACAAGAACCCGCAGTTTATTTGTTAGTGATAATTAAGTAAGTAGGTAGGTAACTAATATTTTTTGGCAATTTGCCGCCACTTCTTTATCTTTTTTACCACCTACAAATACGTTTCTAACGTCATATTTAATACCTAGCTACTAATTAATGTTCAAATATTTTACCTTACTGACGTGTAAACATTTACCCCCTTACTAATAAAAAGTTACACAGTTGTTGAACACTATTTTAAAATGACTTTTCCATACTAAACGTCACTTTAAAACACTGTTCAACGAGCGTGTAAGTTTTATTAGTAAGGGGGTTAATTTCCACATAGGTACCTACCTACCTACCTATTGGTTTTTCCGAATTGGCGTTAGTAATATAAACAAAGCACTGGCAATTTTGTGTCATGATGTCATTAAACTGCATGGAATGCACTGGTTATTATTATGATTGATTAGGAACTCAAAACTTTTTAAAGCCTACTGACAATAGTGTGAGTTTGTCATGCTGCTCCTTAATGTACCTACCGCCCGACGACTTATTGTCTTGATGTTATTGGAACGTGGTTACTAAGCGCCTTATTGAAATTGATTATCAACACTTCACGAGTGAGTAGTCATAGGTAATACTAGTTTTTGTCTAGCAATGGTAATACTAGTAATGGTCTAGTCATCTAGTGCAGTACCCTAGAAAATCTTAGAAATAGAACATCTTCATAATAGGTACTAATCTAATCGCACCCTCCACCCCGAGAGACTGCTCTACAGAGCAAAAACGACAAAAAGCGCCTTTATTTATTTGCAAGAAAATAACATTTTCCTTTTTTTTTCTTTCAGCGCAAACTGCTGCTATTCCCTGAAGGCACCCGGCACTGCGGAGATCGGTTGCTCCCATTCAGGAAAGGCGCATTCCACGTGGCGCTTGCTGCGAACGCGCCCATCCAGCCCGTCGTGGTCTCCAAGTACCACTTCTTGGACTCGAAGAGACGCCGTTTTGGTTCAGGTAATTTTTCGACAACAAACGTAATAATAACAGATTCCTGTCAACTAATTTAGAAAAAGCGAGCATGCATTGGCGTTTGTGTATTAGAGCTGCTGCAGCTGCAGGATTTCAATTGGAAAGGTTTCCATGGGAAACTAGTTTTAAACGGAGAAATCGCAATTGAACAACTCATAAAGTATGATCATTGTTAGAGTCAACTGCCCAATTCAATGGTGAATCGCAATGTTTCTGTACGCCAATATAAAAGTATTCACAAATGATTTTACTCATTCCCCAGGCGAAATCATAATAACGATAATGCCGTTGATCGAGACTGAGGGTGTGGACAAGGACGACATCAGCGCACTGGTGGACAAGACGCAGATGGACATGCAAGAGATGTTCTCCAATACCTCCGCTGAGACGCTCGCGCGCCGCACCAAATTCGCTGAGGCTGAATGAGGTATTCTTAAACTTTTGATCATTTATACTAATCTATACTCTATACTAATATTATAAATGCGAAAGTAACTCTGTCCGTCTGTCTCCTTTTTACGCTTAAACCACTAAACCGATTTTGATGAAATTTGGCATAGAGATAGTTTGAGTTCCGGGAAAGGATAGTTTTTATCCCGGTATTTGGAAACAGGGACGCGCGCGATAAAGTTTTTCTGTGACAGACAAAATTCCACGCGGGCGAAGCCGCGGGCGGAAAGCTAGTCACTCATAACATTCACGTCTAATTAATGCGTTTTCGAAGAACTATTTTTGCGTGTTTTTGTGTCTAATGATTTTCGTGATAAGTTTAGGCGGCTTCGCCTACAGCTAGTTCAGACTAACACACGACGTTCAGAGAAACAACGTAGATTTACCTATTGTTGGAAAAAAGTAAGGCTGGGTTGCACCATTTCACTTTAACTTTGATAAACGTCAAAAATCTGTCAAACTCCATACAAAAAACACCGGTTATCTTTAAAGTTACGGTCAAAGTTAGGTGGTGCAACTCAGCCTAAGACAATCTTCATAGTGTTAAAGCCAGAAAGCGATGCTGGTCAAAAATACTGTCATTTAAAAGTAAACTGGCAATTTGTGTTGTTATTTTCATAGATTACATGAAGCGTTCACTTTTTTTTATAATTCGTACAAGACAGCATTTAAAATAATGAGAGATGGTAACAAATATTGTTTTGCTTCTCGATCAATAAATTCTAATATTCTTATGTTCTATAATATTTTCATATTTTGTACAAAAATAATTTAAGTAGATTTATTATTTTCAGGTAAATCTAAACCGAATCCGTAAAGAGCTGTGATAGTCATACATAGAAAAGTTTATTGTTGGTGGTCAAATACTTTATTATTGTACAAGTTTTGTAAATATTATACAAAAATGAAATTGTATTAAAAATACACAAAAGGTTGTTTTTCTTAAATAAAAAACATTAACCCTGTGTGTTGTTTTTTTATTAAAAGACTGCACATATGAAAATATGGAAAAATAGTTCACATTTCATTGTTCTTGTCTCAAATAACATACACAAGTAAAAAATTTAGGACTAAAAATCACATAAGATACATTTTTGGTGATTAAATACAGGGGGTTCATTAAAAATACTATGACGTGTTTTAATAATTATCAAAAATTACAGGTATTTTAAAACGGATTTTTCATTTGAGATCACGAAATGTAAATGTATGTCTTTGTTAAAATATTCCTTTGTCTGTGTATGTATGCAGTGTGTATTACCATTTTAATTTTCATCAAGGTTTTGAATGCTTGTTAAGAAGTTAAGTTCCTAATTTATGCAATGTACTGTAGTATTACTGTATTTTCCAGATTAACTATTCGATTAAAGGGAGTGTGGTGAATTAAGTACGACGTTGTGTAAAAATTACCTATAAGTATTAGGCTGAGTAACATTTTTTTAGTCGTGATCTCGAATAAAAATCCTACTGTCTACGAGCGATTTAAAAACAATGCAAATACAAACGTGTAGGTTTTTGTGCATTAGTTATATTTTACGATGAAGCACTCAGGTTTTCGTTACTGTTTAGGTAATGTAAGTTCATATTACTGTAAGGGCAGTATAAAAATAAAAGCTACCTTATTTCAAGCCCTATTTATTACTTTTCTTGAGTTTGGCGTATGTTGCGATGCAGAAAAGACATTGCGATTGTTTTCGGTATGTTCATGAAACATTACATTTTTCTACGATAATTTATTCCTCTTATTATACTATCTCAAAGTCTGCCATTAAAATAATGCTTTTCTGTTATAATCGTCATTGATAATTAAATTTCATCCACATCGCAGCTTACGCTTAGCCTTATATTAGAAAAAACCAAAGAAAAATGACGAGGTCGGCGGGAATGGTATTCTTTACGGCCGTCCCCCACACGGCGCAGTACACAGCAAAATACACGTACCTATATTATCTTTATTCTTGTGCAATTTCTGAGTGTGTTCATCTTATAAGAAAATGGTGTTAGGAGAGAATGTTCCTGGTAGTTAACTAAAAAAAAGCTTGCACCATCAACCCAAATGACTTTCCTCCAACTGATCTTGAACTTTGACTCAGAGACAGAATTCAAAATTCAGAGGACAAAACATAATAAGAAATTGTAGGTTGACGCGCTTATAAAACTGTAAAAAGGAACACTGTAATACATATTACAAAACTGAATACTGTATAAATAGATATCAATATTCGTTCTAATTCGAGTGGTTGATAAAAAAGAAATGCCTTAATCCTGGTGCATCACCATTGATACAAACACTTTCTGTATCGAGTATATTTGATAACTTAAGTTAGTTTAATAGTAAGCTAACTTAAGTTATCAAATAAGCATAATATTAAGCATTTTCACCATATATTGGGGTGTTCTTTTTTAATATCGTCCGGATTTCATCATGCACCGATAGGTACTTGTATGAAATGGACACTTACGGGTGTCACGCAATCCCGCGTCCGTGATGGAATTAGCACGATATTAAAAACACTGTACTACTTACATGCGCAAGTGAAAATATTAAAGACAATTATTTAAAAATAATACTGTTCTATGTAATAAACACCATGTAGTTAGGTACTAACATAAAATCACTATACATATAGGAACATATAGACACGGCATAAAGAATCACATTGGGATTGTTGATTTTTGTCACAGGAAAGTAGGAATTTTATATGTTCCGTCAGCTTCAAAGTAAGTACCTATGCTTAGTTATTGCTACAATGGAAGCAGAGAATTTTATTTTGCCCTCACTGGGAAATTGGGAATTATATCTGGGATCTCTGGATCGGAAATAGGTGGTGCGCGTGAATGATGTGTTTTCAAAATCCAATCCGAATCTCTGGTTTATACAGTACTTATATGTTAATTGATAGATATTATGTATCTTTGAAACTGACTACACAAAATAAACAATTTAAATCACTGCAGTTTATGTATGTATTCTGGTACCGCACTTCATCTTTGGGTCCAATAATGTGACGCTTAATTAATAAAAATTTAAATGGCACATTTTTAATTCGAGAATGAATTAGCGTTTTGACTTGTGTTATTATAAAAATAACCCTAGAAATATTAATCAAGAATTTGCTTTCAAATTACAACTATCAACTATAAAAATATAATGACTAAAATTAAAGCAGCTAAAAATAGCGGGCATGCAAGTGTAGAGTAACTTAACAAACACTAAATTAATAATTATAAAAAATCATAGTACAGAGTGCCTATGTTAAGTTTATTGCTCAGTCGTATAAAGCGGCTATTTAATAGCTAAATAATAATTATCACAAAAGCTGATAATGACTGGTACGTAAGTCACAATACTCATAAAATATGACTATAAACTAAATCTAGAAATCAATGTTTGGTTGATAAATGAATGTGTTACAAAGTAAAAACCAGATTCTTCTTGCAAGTCCTTAATTAATATGTAAGGGACAAAATTTAATTAAGATTCTGTGATCGTTTTCAGTAACTTATGCAATTGGAAGTGTAGCCTATGATTAACAACTCACTTCTGTATTCAGGGTAGAAACTGGTTTTGTAACACGGTTACGCTATACACATTAGCTGCAACAATTGTTATTATACATCGTTTACTACAATTGGATATAAGAAATGTAAACAAAAGAAAGCCGGAAAACTATTGTCTCAGTTGTTTACTTGATAAATCAGTATCAGTTTCTACTAATACGTTTGTGTATTCAGTTTAATTGGCCTCGTTGTACACACTTTCTCTAAAATAACATGACAAAACAATCAAATTAATAAATGACAATAAGAATGATTCCTTTCTAAATAAAACTATAATGACTATGGCTATAATGTTTTGCGTCTGGCATTATTATTCAATAATAATGTAGACATGTATTGTTGTTTAATTACTTATGTTTGGATATCTCACCCATACCTGAGTGATCAATCTGTGGTGGCTAGTGGGTAGTTAGGTGGCAATGCGCTGAGTACTTCCTTTGATAGTTCTTTGTAAACTGCGTCCATCATATTGCGAACACGTATAATGAGCTCAGGAACGTCTTCCATTGTCAGACCCTTAGTGGACACAGGTTCCAGACACTGTATAACAACGTGGCCTGCAAAGCAAAAACATACAAGCATTAGGAGATTCATCATCAGATCATTTTACAAAGATTATGTAGTAAAATATGTATGTAGGGGATAATTTACCTTTATTGAAAATGTTTTTGTTCCTATTAATAAAATAATATGGAGAGAATACGACAGGTATTATCGGCACTTGTGCGGCAACTGCTATGTTGAACGCACCCTTTTTGAAAGGTAATAGTTTGGTGAAGTCTTTGTTTCTAGTGCCCTCTGGAAATAGCCATATCTTTGTCTGAAAAATAAATAAAAAACTTCTTGGGACATTGAAGTACACAAAACATTTAATTAGATATTAATTGGGCATGATTCACTTTAGGTAGCGCAAGTCGCGCTCTTGTAATTACACAATTGCTTTACTAGTTCACTGGGTAGTCATGCATGCCAGTAGGTACTTTACATCACATCATAGACTAATTTATGTCGGACCTTATTCTGAAGAAATAATGTTCAGCTGTTCTAGTTACCTTATTTTTAATCATGACTTCTGAAGTAATTTTTAGTTGTTTATAGGCATCTTTTGAGTTATTTCTGTCAATAAATACAACCCCTGCTAGGTATGCGGCAAGGCCAAACGGCCACACATAAAATATTTCTTTCCGTGCTATAGCTGCAACTTTATCAGCTACATGCCATATGTTGAACATTCCTGGAATATATTTAAACATAATCACTTTAAATTGATAACCTTATTGCATATTACACAATTTACTGAACTATACTCGGGTAAATGATTTATTTATTCCTTGATAATAACACTGACCTATGATAAAGGATGTTGCATGTACATATTTAATTTAATAATACAGTGTATGTACACACAATAAAGTACTAACTGGTACTAACACCCATATTCATAACATTACTATGAGGTCTCACAGTGAGCGTGGATGCAATGCTGTGCGTTTGATTTGCTGCTTCGCTTAAGCAAGCATTGTTTGTAAATACGGGTGTATTTATTATTGGTTTTTGGGCCTTTACTTGCGCCAACTCGACCAGGTTTGATCTATTGTGGCAGCCCTTGTCTTTAGAGTTCACTGCTTAGTCCCGTTGAGTCTATAAATTTCTAGATTCTTTGGAGCGTGATATCTGCTATCTCATCCGGGTGCATGATGTGTCGCCCGAGATGGATACTTCTTTTGCTCATAAGGGTGTAAGTGTTTAAGTAATGTAAATTAGGAAAATTCTTTGTCTCTAGTCTTAGGACACTTATATTGGGTATGGTCCACAGAGGCTTGGAATGGTACATTACTCAAACTATTCATTTAAGGTAGGTAGGCAGGTCTCAAGAATACCAATTCATCACACTCAAATAATGTTTTCTGTGGAATTCAAACCCTCTATCACAGTATAACAACCAGCCCACTAGTAGTCATATACTCCCTTATCAGTTTAGGACTATGTATACCTGGGGTAGGGTAAGTTTATTGTTTTCCAAAATGAGTGTTTGAAACAAGTACAGTTCATAGTAGTAATTAACTCATAATAAATACTATCACAGAGATAACAATATGCCCCTTTCAGGCAGGTAATTGGTCTTATTTGGTACTGAAGATAATTCTATCTAAATACGAATAGATCTGAATAGTTCTCACCTAATATATCAATTGATGATTGGTGATTAGATACCACAACAGCTCCTCGGTCTTCAGCAAGAACTCTGCCATTCCTTAGATGCCATTTAACTTCAATTATTTTGGTAACATGCTTCACTATTTGAGATCCAAATCTATGAACAAAATTATCATGAAATATGACTGTGTGCTTGTAATTTTAATTTGTCTGAAATGACAAAGTGTTTTTGATTATTTAAACATTTATGTACTTAATTGAAAATGATATGATAAATGCTTCTATAAATCATTTTATAGAAGTGATTGTGTGTAGAGCTTTTAGTAATTAAGAGAAGTATGGCTGAAATTAATCAATACAGAATACAGGTTAATAAATTAAGGTAAGTCTACATTTTTAATATTAAGCTTGTATGATACTTACAGGGAATTTTTTACATTTTTCGGATTGAATACAAAGAACGGCAGCAAAACTACAGCAGTAACCGAAGTCCAAATATAAAAAATGAGAAATTTTGATTTAAATTTCACGAAATTTGGTGTTTCGGAAAAGAGCTGCTTGAAAATGTACGTCACTAATGTAATAATGAGAATATATATTATTTTATCCCACATTTTGTGACTGTATTTAAACTGAATTTAACATTAAATTAACACATTTATTACACAAACACTTGTTGCTAAAGACTGAAAAAACTCCAGGTATTACATACACACGAAATGATTAGGATAGGCAAAAAGTAAGTATGATTTATCAAGAAATATAATCACTGAAAAACTATAAACAATATCAGTTTTAAAATAGAATTTTCAGTTTAAACTTCAGTGTTTAATTTTGCATTCCGGATTGATTTGTTGTCGATTTGATTGACTGACAGACGAACGAAGGGGGTGCGGGGAGGTGGAGCACGGGGAGGGGGTACCACAAAGCCAAAGCGGCGTACACGTTCCATTTTACGCATGCATTTAAGGGCTATACAAAACTTCTTGAGAATAAATAAAATAAAACAAAATTAAGTACTTCTACCCAATTCATTTCAGCAAGCAACTGAGTTTGATTAAAATCATCATTAAATATGTACAAGTTGAGCCAAAATAATTTTACATTAAATAATAAGCTACCATATAACGTCTCCATTATTAGCCTCGATGAGTTGGATGGAATGGAGTTTCTTTGATCTTAAGTGGTTCCTTCATGTCTCCAGGATTTCTATGGAAGGGTTTTACTTATCATGTAGTATTGTAGTAGAAAATGATGAATGAATGAAGTAGCTATGCTACTTCACATAATTTTAATTAGTAGTTGGTGTGTAAGAAGCAGTGGCGGCGTAGCATGGGTTGGTACCCGGGGCGGTGACACCCCCCCCCCCCCCAGTCACAAGTCCTATGGCACCCCCTGGTACCTTCCCAGGATTTTGGGGTTACCTACCGATTCGAAAGACAATCACACCCCCCACCCCTATCATGACATAGACCGCAGATTTGCCATGCAGATGTGCCAGTGAGTACTAATCTGCGCGACTTGTGTCACCCCCTAATGCTTGGCACCCGGGGCGGACCGCCCCCACCGCCCCCCCCTTACGCCGCTACTGGTAAGAAGTCAAAAACAAGTTAACATGACCAAATCACTGCTGCGCTTACATTGCAAATAGGAAATAAATACTTAGTTATTTAATGCTCATCATGAAAACTGCAGCAAATTCTAACTTGAATGATTTGTCTCCTTATAAATAAAAAATGTTGATATAAAGACTCGGTTGTGACTACTTAAGGTAGGTACTCACGATGTAAGAAAAGGACAATTTTATTAATTAGCTACTTATTTATTATATTTTAAATTATATTCAAGTTAGTACTTAAGTAGTGTACTTTACTAGTAGATAAGGATAAAATTATGAATATTTCAGTCTTTTGGGGTACGAGCCTTAGTAGAGCAGTTTTTCAGTAAGTTGAATTTGGTAGGCGGATCGTTCATAACTTCCTTCGCAACCTGTTTATAGACGATGCTCATTTGATTTCGTACATTTTCTATGAGGGCTGGTACGTCTTCCTGAGTCAATCCTTTCGTGGATACTTCTTTTAAGCACTGAATTATTACGTGACCTGAAAAAGGTTTAAAAATTGGATTTTCATCTAAACTGCCGTGAAAAGATTCAAAATAAATTCTTTGGCAGAAAGTTACTTTAATCACTTTTACGCTTTTACGTAGTTACCTTCTTTAAATGTCTTTTTTTCAATATCAAGAAAATGGTATGGAGAGAAAACTACAGGAATAACCGGCACTTGTGACGCAACAGCCAAGTTAAATGCACCTTTCTTGAACGGCAAAAACTCCGGGTTATTGTTTCGAGTGCCTTCAGGGAATATCCATATTTTGGTCTAGAAACATGAAGAAAAATAAGCATTTTAAAAAACTCGGGAAAAATAAGCATTTTAAAAAATCTTTTTGTAACTCGGGATATGTTTTTTTTAATGAATATAATAATATAAGCTAATGGAAACTACGAGGCAAATGGAACGGACCGATGCAAATGCGCCCGATCTTGGATCTTATACAACGTGAATGCGTCGTAGCGTCTTTCCGTTCTATACATGGCCAGAACGCACCCATAGGAAACTGCTCGTGTATATTTCGGAGTGCCTGTTTGTAAATCTGTGACTCCAAACTATACACGAATTTTGCGTACTGATCGTGTATAGTTTGGAGGAGCTTAGTAAAAAAAGTCATCTCCAAACTATACTCGATTAGTTACTACTACACCACTTACACTTGACTAGTGTGTTTAGTTGATATTGATTTAGTAAAATTCAGTAAAATATGGAACTATATTTAAAATTACATTTATTTGATATTATTACATAAAATATTATTATTTTACTGAATTTATAATAAATCTAGATTTTTAACACTATTGTAAGTGGTTTTTGAAATTAAATTGATTAGGTAGATTTCAAATTAAATAACAATTTAATTAATATGAGAGAGAGTGAGAGAAGAAAGTTCAACGCGCATTAAATACAATATTATGCGAGATTTTAAATGCTAGGTTTGTATTGTCGGCCGTTTGGTGTAGTGGTTCGAAGTGGTAGCGGGTTCGATTCCCGCACAGTACAAACATTTGTGTGCATGAACATATTTGTTTGTATTGGACTGATGTATTAACAAAAAAAAGTATTTAATTATGTTTATATCCGTTGTCTAGTACCCATAGTACAAGCTTTGCTTAGTTTGGGACTAGAAGCGCAGTGTAAAATGTCTAAGGATATTTATTTATTATTTATTTTATTTATTAACTTTTATCTCAAGAACAAAATCATTTTGACATATTTCCATACCTACAATTGGTGAAATATAAGCCCCTAAACAAATATCTTTTCTATGGCAGAATAAGAAACACCAAAAAATCCTTTATCAAAACAATGACACGTGTCGTAAGATGATTCAATGTTTAAAGTAGACACGCAGATATGAATTAATCTATCTATATAAATAAAAATGAATTGATGTTCGTTAGTCTGATTAAAACTCGAGAACGGCTGGGCCGATTGAGCTGATTTTGGTTTTAAAATGTTTGTCGTAGTCCAGGGTAGGTCTAAACGGTGAGCAAATACGCGCGCGATATTGTTTTTCTGTAACAGACAAAATTCCACGCGAGCGAAGCCGCGGGCGGAAAGCTAGTATGTAATAGAAAGAGAGGTCAATAAGTCAAAATGACTAGCATGCAACTACTCGCGTATAAATTGTAATCACGCACTTATTACAATACATACATGATTAGTCCGTATGCGTACTGGCGATGTATATTTTGGAGGAAGATAATTGACCTAAGTCACTACAAAGTATACGCGAGCAGTACGCAGCGTATGCGTACTGGTCGTGTATAGTTTGGAGGAGCTTAGTAAAAAAAGTCATATCCAAACTATACTCGATTAGTTTCACACCCTTGCGTTCTGGCTATGTATAGAATGGAAAGACGCTGCGTCGTAAAACATTGCAGCTTGATATAGAATTTAAATAGTGTGTTTGGAGGAAAATAATACAATAATCACCTATATCTAACCAAATATAGTAATCAAAAAAATACCACACAAAACATCGACTGGTAAATTTGGAGACTCTCCGGCGGAGAGCCGTCTCTCCTATCTTTTCTGTTATTACCTTGTCCTTCGTCATAACTTCAGAAGCTGCGAACATTGTCTTGTAGGCTTCCTTTGTTTTCCGTCTATCTATGAACACAATCCCAGTGAGGTAAGCGCTTAATCCAAAAGGCCATAAGTAAAACAGTTCCTTTTTTGCGATGCAAGTCATTTTACCAGCCAAGTCCCAGATGTTGAGTTGTCCTGCAAAATTTCACTTATGAAGATTTGCAAAAAGATCTTAATCAAAACCTAAGATAGATGTGTCTGCATAAAGACGCTCTAACTGCGAAAATTTGACTTGGAACATAGTAAGGCTGAGTTGCACCACCTAACTTTATCGGTACGCACAATGACCGGTGTATTTTATGCTGTTTGACAAATTTTAGACGTTTGTTAAAGTTATATTTAAAGATAACTTTTTTGAATGGGGTTCGGTATTCCTTTCTTATTCCAATTTTCCCTATAAACTTCTGTCACAATATAAACCAATAAAAAACACAAGCATCATGATTTTTGTACGAGTGGAAAGAAACGTTGCGTGTTGGTTAGTGCAGCAGAACACTATTTTAAACTGTTGTAGACACTTGGAGTGATCAAACATTTTACGAGATAGGGATTCTAAAATCATCCTTGCACATACCCAATATGTCTAGAGAAGACTGGTGGTTGCTGACCACGACTGCCCCGCGGTCCTCCGACAAAACCCCTCCTCCCCGAACTATCCAGCGTAGGTTAATAGCCCTCGAAACAAATTTTGCGATCGGAACAGTTATCCTGAAACGTGTAAGTAATGTAATGCGTTTATTTTTGGATTACTTAAGTAAGTTCAAACATTAATAAGTATTACTAGTTTTTTATTGACCTACTAGCTTTTGCCCGCGGCTTTACCCGCGTGAAATTTAGTTTGTCACAGATCGTCATAAATTATAGTCTATAATATGTTATTCTAGGTTATTTAAACAATAATACTGTAAAGTTTCATCAAAATCCGTTCAGTAGTTCTTACGTGAAAGAGTAACAAGCATCCAGATTATTAGTAGGATATAAGGATATTAGTAACAATTCATAAATATTTACAAAATATTTGATTGATTCGGACAACAGTAGGTACTATAACTTAAAAATATTTAACTTAATAACTGTGAGTTATCAAACATTACGGAAATTTTAATTGATAAAACTAAAATTACTAATTAGATAAATATATTACTAACTAGCGGCCGCCCGCGACTTCGTACGCGTGGATCCCGTTTTACCCCCTTTATCTAGATTTTTCGCGGTCTAGATTTTTTCATATAAATGTTTTTTCCCGCTAACTCCCGTTCCCGTGAGAATTTTGCAATATCCTGTTGTAACTTAGCTTTAAGTTTAGTAAGGTACCTGCATGACAAATTTCAAGCGTCTAACTTAAGCGGTTTAGATTTTTCATACAAAAGGATTATCCCGCTAATTCCCGTTCCCGTGAGAATTTCGGGAATTCCTTGTTGTAACTAAGCTATAAGTTTACTAAGGTACCTACATGCCAAATTTCAAGCGTCTAACTTAAGCGGTTTAGATTTTTCATACAAAAGGATTTTCCCGCTAATTCCTGTTCCCGTGGGAATTCCTAAGTATACTATAACCTGCCCAGGAGTATGAAGAATAATTGTACCAAGTTTCGTTAAAATCCGTCGAGTAGTTTTTGTTTCTATAAGGAACATACAGACGGACAGACGGACAGACAGACAGACAGACAGACAGACAAAAATTTTACTGATTGTATTTTTGGCATCAGTATCGATTACTAATCACCCCCTGATAGTTATTTTGAAAATATATTTCATAATACAGAATTGACCTCTCTACAGATTTATTATAAGTATAGATTAATCTGCTCTATCGCATTGGGGAAACCTGTAATGTTAGAGTTGTATGAACACCTATGGCTGAACATTGTATGCTACGACAAAATGCTACGAGAGTTTAGTAGCATTTGAATGAAAATTGCCCGAAAATATATTTAAACGTTTGTTTAGATTAATAATTTGATAGTTAAATCATACCACCATGGCACTAATCATTAAAAAATATAATGCACAATGGTTTCCATGCTTCTCTTATTGTTCCCACGTTACGTTTTATTGTTATTCGAATCAGTTGCCTTACTAATTGATTTAAAGTAACTGGAAAAATTACTTCATTGCTGAAACTGAGGGCTTTCAGTGTTAGGAGGTAGGTACTTAATATTATTCTGTGGTGTTACTAAGAAGTTGGTTGTGCCTTAAATTGGTGGTGTTACTATCGATACAATTCGCTCTAGCTAGTTCATCCAGTATGGAAGAGTTACTCACATCACATTCTGAACATTTCTGGGCTTCAGCAGGAACAGTGGCCAGCATAATGCGGTGACAATAAACGTAGCAAAATAGTATAAGAAAAACTTGTAATAGAAAAGTATCGACGTTCCTTCACCCCGGGCAGATCGTTTGTAGAAGTAAATTAGCACGCACGCCAAAAATATTACGGCCTTGTTCCACATATTGTACTACCCGTAGTACGATACTAGGTCTCCAAATAAAACTACCGCACTCTCCATTACCTCGGCAAGGACTGATTTGGCCGTCAACAAAGCTTGTAACTTTTAAGCACTGTATTAGAAGCTATTAATGCAAATCTGGCACGAATGCTATTTTGACATTGGCTGTTTAATTGTTTTATTATTTTTATTGCAGGTAAGTAAATAATGATGATGATTTTGAGGCACAGACTGTGATTAATTGTTTATTTTAATGATTCAACTTGCTTTTTATTTTAGTTCTATTGTTGTTGTTTAATGTGCTGTGCCAATAAAGTGTTTTCTATTCTGTTCTATTCTATTCTATGATGATTCTACGATACCTATAATAATTTTGGTTGCATGCACTTGTGCCATATTAGCTGTCTGTAGCAATAAATCATTTATTATGTTGTTGAGAGCATTTCTATTATTTTAAGCCGCCGAGTGCATTTACACGAAAACATACAAGTGCAAGATAGACTCGCACAATTCGCACATGAAGGTTTAAGTACCAAAATCTATACTTATTTGGTAGATAATTTCCCGAACTGTTTGTGTCTAGAAAAGGCTTATTTAAAAACAAACCACAAGGCTACTGCGACACAGGCATCTCTTAATGCAGAAGTTACCAGATGTACCAGGTAGAGTCGTTACGTTACCCTTTATAAAAACAGGATTGTGATACTAATTTTGATTTAGATAAACTGTATTCTGTACCAATAAGGTCATTTGTCTAATTAGCCTATGATTTGACTCTCGTCCATTAGCAGATGCGGCCTCTACTACTGCTATAAGCCTCACCTTTAAAAAAGCCGGTTAATATTGTAATATTATGTAACTAATATAATAATGCTATTTACGGCTCGTGCGACCTCGGCCTTTTGCGATATGCACAGATTGTAAATAAATAAACATGCTTAGCGTAACTTAACAGTGATTTATAAATAAGATATTTATACCCGGATGGCAGTTTAAGTTATTTTGGACCATTAGTTAAAAAATCAACGTATTTCTTTAACAGTAAAATAAGCTTTTAAGGTTATCAAAGTGGCAAAACAAAAAATGATGGCGTTTGTCATTATTTGTGTTGTAGGTAATCTTGATTATGTAATATACATAAAATATTTTGTTCAGGCGTTCGTAAAGAGTCGGGAAGATCGATACTGCAAACGTTATTTATTATACTAGCTATATGATAGAATTTATCGATCGAAACAAGTCGCACGCAATGTAGGTACGTAGTGTTAAAACTATGTAGAGACTGCCTAAAGTTCCACACCAAGAACAATAATAAGAAGGGCAAAATGACGCCAAAATATTTAGCTAGTTTTCATTTTTGAAATTTTGACAAAGTCAAGTTCAAGTCACCTTTCTTTTTTTTTTAACTATGTATTTGGGTTATTAAATGAAAAAATCCAGTTAAACGTTACATTAATTCTTGAAGTAGGTAGGTAGGTAGAGCCTATTCATAATTATGTTTAATGATGATTACCTACTCTTCTAATTTTTGAAGTAAAACTAAAACTAAAATATTACTTAATTTATCTGACTTTTTTAGCTAGGAGTAAGTAGTAGTGGTAGTAGTAGTAGTAGCACTAATACTTAGGTTGTTGTAATATCTTACTATATTTTTCATCATAATATAAACCAGTTTACTCAAACGCTTGGTAGGTACGAGTAAGTAAATATCAAAAACTGTTGGGTACGACAGGACACCAATCTCTTCTTTGTTATGAAGAAATAAAAACAACTATTTTGTTTTAATATTAGTAATAAAAAACTATAAAGCTTATAATATACTTAGGTAGGTATATTTATTTTATATGTAACTTACAATACTTACCTACAATTTACGGTTTTCGGCATGATAGTGCATGCATATACTGTGGTGCATGCCCGTCACTAAAATAAGGTAATATTGTGGTAATATCAACAACATGTTAACTTGCTTCCAACAATTATTTGAATATTTTGAAATAAGAATTAAAAACTAACAAATAATATCCAACGGCGTTGTGTGTTCAAAGGCTAAATACCTATATGAGTAAATACCTAGTTACCTACTTAGTTACCTACCAGTTATTTACAAAAAAAGTGTTTAGGCTTTTACCCGCATTCCAAAATAACAGTTTACATAAAACAGTTAACTTGCCTCAATATAACATAATAATGTCAGTTACAGTACAATTTCAAGGTAACGATAAGATAGAAGATAGAGTTATAGATAAAAGTTTTTCAAGCCTCTACTAACATTATCTTTGGTGTTTGTATTTTTGTCCTCTTTTCAAAACATGCGATTTCGCATTATTTTCGCTGATTTGAACCACATTGAACACGGGAAGTGCGGACCGCGCCTGGATGCGGGCGGCGCAGGACCGGCCGTTATGGAAATCCATGGGGGGCCTTTGTCCAGCTGTGGACGTCATTCGGCTGAAACGAATGAACCTCATTGAAAGGGTTAAATTAAATCAATATAATAAAAATAAAATAGAGAATCATCTGTCTTCACAGACGGAATTATCACCATAACGAATAGTTATTCAACTTGATCCAAAGTTAGCATATTTAATCATGATTGCATTACCTACAGTGTGGTTTAATAATTTGTGATCAATTAGATATAAAAAGATCTACTTTTGAATAATCTACGTCCATTAGATTTTTTCGTATGAGATCAAAAATCTAACCAATAATACTAAAATTAATCTAGAATTAAAATTAACATAATTTTTAGTTATCCTTTTAAAGTGAAAGGGTATTTGGCTGGCAATTTGTCTATCACTTCTTTGGCGATTTCCCTGTAAGCAGCTGACATGTTTTCATGGACTCGGTTGATGAGATCTGGCACATCTTCGCTGGTCAAACCCTCGGTGCTTATTGGATCCAGGCACTGGACTACCACTTGACCTGGAATGTAAAAAATGGATTGGTGAAGCTGTTGCAGCCTTGGGGTTCAGTCAGCTAGAGATGATGCTTACACGAAAAATATATTTCGCGATACTTTTTACAAGTTTCTTTGTCAATATCAAGTCTTTTTCACGTCGTATACTTACGCCTGTATTCACAAACATTACTATGAGGTCTCACAGTACGCGTGGATGCACAGGGTCACACACGAACCAATCACAGAGCTCTATTTAACGCTGTGCGTTCGATTTGCTGCTTCACATAAGCAAGCATCGTTTGTGAATATGGGCGTTAGTTAACATTCGTTTCTAGACTGTTAGCAGATTTACATAGAGTGCAAAGAATGTGTCGATAAATCAATGTATGTAGAGCTTACCTTTATCGAAGATGTACTTGTTTTTATTGATGAAGTAGTATGGGGAGAACACCACGGGAATGACGGGCACTTGCGCCGCCACAGCCATGGCAAACGCGCCCCTCTTGAAAGGCAGCAGCTTGGTGTAGTCCTTGTTTCTGGTGCCTTCAGGGAACACCCAGATCTTCGTCTACAAATAAAATGCCAATGTATATTAATAATGTTCAACAAGCATTAGTCATTCTTCAGTACCTACAGTATACATATATGTTGAGTTTTGTATGTGTGTTTGTAGTGTTGTAAATGCTTTTAAATAAACAAATAAGTACGATTATTGTGTAATAAGAAGTTTTACTGCTAACATTCTCACGTTAAATTTTATCAAAAATCGATAATCGGGTTATAATATTATCAGGTTATTATTACTTTATTCAATGATTTGAGAGATAAAGTTATAATTATAAACCCAAAACTAGATATGAAGTACTCTCAAAACATAGACCTATTTATTTTTTGTTGTAACTACCATCTATATCGAAACTCTCAAGTTAAATAGTGACTATGGGTTAGGTTTAAACCTTCATGTTTCATGATTCTCGCACCTACATGAAATTGCTCACCAGTTTCACAGATGGCGTTATTAAGGATGTTTGGGAAAGGTTGGTATACAAAGCCTTGATTACAATGGAGCGAGATGTAATTAGAACACGGCACATAATAATAATACAAGGAAATTAAGTGATGACAAATATGATAAAAGATGTTGACATGCTCTCTGAGCAAAGGTCATGACGCACTCGTATTATTTTTAAGTTGATACTATTTTAGTCCATTCAAATTATTTAACACTTCATGTGCTCCAATGGAAATCGAACCCAGAGATCTCTTTTTTATTTTTTTTGTTAAATTTTCAATAATAGGGTAGATTTTGTTTACCTTTTCATTCACCATCACTTTCGACGTGATCTCCAACTTCTTGTAGGCGTTTTTGGCGTCGGACCTGTTAATGAACACAACCCCAGCAAGGTACGCCGACAACCCGAAGGGCCACACGTAGAAAACCTCGCTTTTGGCTATCGCTGTCATTTTGTACGCCACGTGCCAAATGTTGAACATTCCTGAAAGAAAATGCATTTTCAGTGAAAGTTCATTTACAGTCATACTTTTTTGGTGTACCTATGTCACGACGACAGTATAATGTTAAATAACTTGGTATTTTAAGTGGTTGTTAAAATGCGAGTTTGTTATTAAATTGTCTGATGCCGCTGACTCTACCTCTATGCTATAGTCAAATATTTCAATTTTCAGGCCCAACTTTGTAATGAGTAGGCACTTTACACGAAAAATACGTTTTACAATAATATTTATTGTTACAGATAATGACACGATGATTACTATTATCTTTATAAGTAAGTCGATTATTTTACGAGTATTTCTCTTTTATCGATATCATTAATCTGTGACCGCATAGGCAGTCGAATGTATCAGAATTTTTTGACGTAAGTACCTATATGTATGACGTCCTTTGTTTTGCAACTTGATTTAATTAATTAATTGTCATGATTATGTTATAAAAGGAAGCAAGTTTAGTGTCGAAATTGGAGTTAATTATTTGTTTGACTGAATTAACGTTTTAGATACAGCTGAACTAATTCAGCTCAAGCAAAAGAACTGATTTAACTGGTATAGATAAATGATTGGTTTTGAACCATAAGTTATAATTTAAATAAACTATTTTTTTTAAAGATTATTAGCAATTTGTATTGCACAAATTACTAATAGTCCCGTTAGCCCCTCATGTTTAGCTAAAATAAGCTTGTGTTACGTACGAGTGGGCTCACCACAATAGTCGAGCGGCGCGCGGTGGGATTCGAACCCACGTTCGTCGGATCTCGATTCTCATTCACTCGAGGCTCATTTGATCTTACCTAAAATGTCTAAACTAGACTGGTGGTTGGCGACTATGACGGCGCCCCTGTCTTCGGCCAAGACCTTGCCATTGCGCAGATCCCATTCAATCTCGTAGAACCTTGTGATGGGCTTGATTAACCAAGCACCGAACCTGAAATTTTTTGAAAAGAGGTTTACGTAATTATCTCATTTTTATTAGGATTAAAATAACAAAATATGACATTATAAAATTATAATATCATCCACATTAATGATGACTTTCGAACTTATTCTTGGATTTTAATTTACGTGTCCTCGTGGTTTACTACGGCGTCGTAATAAAAATGCCTTTTTTATATCCAACTTGTTTACTACAAGTATAGGTTGATGGCAATATATCACTAAGGACTGACCACTGTATGGCTGTATTGTATTGTCATAATGAAACTGCAGTATGCCCTGTTAGTGGGTATGGCAATACGAAAACAGACCGCAGCGAGTACGCAAATACGAAATCACATCAATGCGAATGTGGCAACACTGCAGTATACCCAAATGTATGTAAATCACTTCTCTGTGTTGGTTCGTTCGGCTCAATCAACATGTATTTAGATAAAAACATGTTCTATACAACGTATAATTTAAATCTGAGATTTCCTACTGAAGGGCGGACTTGTTACTATGCCTACTGAATAATAACTTGAACAATTATGACTCAATTTACTGTTAGTACGTAATAATAATTTTATTCTTATTAAATAATGCGCACAACTGTGTTTAACACAGCAATTTACGTCATACAAACAAATAAATCTATAATTTATCTATTATAGGTCACTAGGTTGGCAACTCTATGGTGATAAATAAAAATATGATATAAGTTAATAAATAAATTACAGAAGTACTACCGAAGTACTTATAAGGCTGGGTTGCACCATCTTACTTTAACTTTGACAAACGTCAAAAATCTGTTAAACTCCATACAAAAGACACCGGTTATCGTCATAGTTACGGTCACAGTTAGGTGGTGCAACTCAGCCTTATTATTCTGTGGTACTACGCCCTTTTTCAGCAAAAACAAACGAACATATTTTAGCGAAAGATTTACAAATTCAAATTACCTACTTATTTTCAAAAACCAAGCTCTTTTTTATTGTTTCTTTAATTTTATTCATTGATTACTCAATCAATTGAATTTAAAGCCCAATTTATACATATTGTTGAGTAAAGAATAGGTCAATGTGTTGATATGCTAATGTCTTCCTCATAGAATTCGTTGAATACTTTTTCAGTAAATAAAAATACGAGTACATACATTACTGAAATGTAGATTTTGGGTGAAATCAATGTTACAAATTGTATGTTCAATTTATATCACATACCTAATGGTAGTTGGACATAGAGCAAGAGAAAGAGTAGTGTGAATTTTAAAATGTATTAAGTGTGAAAATAATTAAGTACAAATCGATTTAAATAGTAATTTCAGCCTCAACTAGGTACTTCTACTACAGAGAGCTTCCTTTCGGCTCTTGACAGCTGTCAAGTTTTTTATGGCTGCTCCATGAGCCATCAATAACATCACGATATTATGGAAGATGAGCACCTCATCTTGGCCGCAGGAAAATAGAGTTTAAATAATCGACAGCTAATCATATTTTGTTACAAAATAGCATCAAAGTATTACAGCTACTAATGATGCCATAGTGCAATTTTGATGAGCTGTCGTCTGCGCTATGACTGATAAACATAATTAAATAGATGCTAATGAATGTAAACATCCCACCGTCTCTGGTAAATTAGAGAGGTCGTCGCTTTGCAATGGAGACTCCATTGATGAAACTGTAAACGCCCATGACAGGATATAAATAAATGCTCGTGTTCATCCCACTAAGGTCATGAGGCACACTTATCAACCAAGAAAGGGATCAACACCGTTTATTAATTTACGTTACGGTGCGGATAAGTGTGCGTTGCAGTACGGAGTTTCATACAAAGAATATTGACCGCCTCGAGTTGATACGGTTACGATCCGTTTCCGGGTTGATAAGTGTGCTTCGTCCTTAACACTTGCTTCCTGCGAGATTCGAATCATCAACTGCGCTGGCATTATTGTTCAATACGTGAATTATTACTACTTTGGTTCACTATGTATTCACTAAATTGCTAATGATGCGATGCAGTGATGTGCAGTGCATTTACGTAGTCAGTGACACTCAGTGACGTTTATAATAAAAACATGATCCACCTACCCGAGGGTTATTATTATGACCCGTCTGATACTCATGTTAATTAACTTCTACTGTTATTAGTTCACATGATATGCTCATATCCGTGAGTTGCTTATTAACTTCGTCTAATCCAGGCAAGAAACAAATTAATGTATGTTTAATTAAAATATAAATAACAAGCCAATATCAACGACCTACATGATAACAAACTTGAGATATGAATTTCAGGATCAAGCAATGTTTTTATTATTTTTTGGATTCATGATTTACTTAGGTATTGAAAATATTATTTACTGACTTCAGTCAGAAAAGAAAAGAAAGATGGAAAAGAGAACAAGAAATATCTGTGTTTGATCTTTTGGAATGACGACGGTGATCATCGGGTACCCTTACTGTGTTATACTTTTAAGATTTTATAAAAATATTGGAAATTAATACATGGCAATGCAATTTTATTCAAAACACGCTGACAAAGTATTGTATAGAGCTAAATGGTTATAATAATATGATGGCTGGAAACTAGGAAAAACCATGATGTGACCATTATGTGAATGTAATAGTTGTTATTTGAGATAATATCTTTAAAGTTAATATAGGGCTTTCAGTATAAAATTACATCTTTTCATCCAATTGTGGCTGGGGTACCGCAGGGATTAGTTCTGGATCCAGTCCTCTATAAATATTTAAATGTGATTTACTAAGGCTGAGTTGCACCATCTTTCTTTAACTTTGACAAAAGTCAAACCTGTCAAACTCCATACAAACCGGTTAATATTATTGTTACGGTTAAAATAAGGTGGTGCAACTCAGCCTAAGTCCTGGCCTAAAGAACTAATTGTCACAACAGACATGGTAGATAATTTTGTGTGTCGTTAGGGGATTTTTTAACATTGTTTTATAATGATTAAAATGTTTGACTAGTTAGAAGCAAGGCAAATAAATGATAAATAAATTGACCAATCTGCAGTTATTATATTACTGATAGTATTGTATAATAAAGTGACACAAAGAAAACGATAACGTTTTAATATCGCTGAGAAAATGATCGACCAGTGAATAAAATAAATACCTAAAAATTATTTACTTAGTAATTATTGTAACCGTTTCTATGGGATGAAAACCAAAAATGGTATAATAAGAGGTTGGTATAATGTGAGATTTTTTATTTAAAACAACAGAGAACTCGTATTACGCATGGAAGATAATACTTATACGAGTAATCTATTATTTGCCTACCTAGATAAAAAATTGTGTAAGATTGTATACCTACCATGTGAATTCGGGGGGTCTGGCAACATGTCAAATTACCTATAATTTCACCAGTTTCCCACGAGTGTGTTGCTATTGTTATTTTATAATTTAACATTGTGGCTAAATATCATTGATACGAAAACTTATTTTATAATAATATTAAATTAAGACATTTTTATTATTTCTTAGGAACCAATTAGCATTAGAATGTTCGTCTGTTACTTACCTCGCATTATGTACACTCTTCGGATTGAAAAGAAAGAATGGCCAAACGAAGAAAGCGCACGCAGACGAATAAATGTAAAATAGTAAAAATTTTATATGAAACTTTTGTTTGCTGTGCTCCTTTTGTGTTACTTTCCAAAAAAGGTAAAACAAACCCATCAGAAATAACATGAACATTTTGTCCCACATGCTTATCACTAACTATTTATAAGGAACACAATCGATCCGCTAAATGTTTGCGTACACACTGAGTTAATCGTGCCGAGCCCCTGCTTATCAGATTAGGATTCTGTGAGACTGATGTTTAAACTGAACAAAATTCTTTGATGTTAATACGTAAATCATACAGGGTGTGAAGGTGCTGGAAAATTGTTATAGGGGTAGGTTTTTGTTTGAAAAATTATTTCACTCGTACATGATTATGTGTATCATCATAATATTCATGTGTTTCATCTTCATGATTTCTGTTCAACCTCCTTTTTTTTCCTTTTTTTTTCCTTCTCTTTTTTTTCTCCCTTTGTATGTCTATGTATGTATTCATATGTTATTTATGAATTATTTTTTTTCTAAATTCATATTAATTCTATACCGCCTACTTTATTCTCAGTTTGGCCCTAAGGTTGACTGGCAGAAAATGCCGAAAGGCATTAAGTCCGCCTTATGTACACCGTTCTATGTGCATATAAGTTTTAAATAAAATAAATAAATAAATTCATGATATAATCTTTAAAAAAGTAAAAAATAGTTATATGACTTTTTGCCTGTTTTACAATCCTAGAGCTCTTTAAGAACCCTTGTATCCTTGAATACTTAGAAGCGTGAAAAAAAGAATTATTACTTTTTTTATGCAGGACAAGGCAGGTATTTGACCGGAATCGCACCTGATGTTGCATTCCAGATGCAGTCAAGGATGGTACTTAAGTTTCTTTATTGTTTTCAGGAATATTAACTTCGACTAGAGTTACCAGATTTTCTAGAATAGGTTTATGAATTATTTTTAAAATAATCTTAACCCGCTGATTCAATTTTAATCCAACTGGTCCCTTACACTCTGTATCGATCGATCTTTAATCTTAGAAACCAAAGAGTACAAAGGCCTACACGAGATTGACTCCGAAGTCCAACACCACGAACCGAACGTAGATACTTTGCACGTACCTAACAAAATAACAAAGGCAGAGTCGTAAACACTTCGAGGCGAAATACAAGTAAAAGGGTTCGAAAATAAACATGTAAGACTGAAGATGTTAGAACAATCTGACTTGTTACTATCGATGAATATTTCAATCTAACAGTTTTGAACGTTCGCCTTTACTAGGATAGGGTGTGGGTCATGTCATGGACGAAGGTCTTGCAATGTAATCTATACTAGTCTACTATACTGATAATAAAGAGGAAATATTGTATGATTGTATTAAATAGGCTAGCCTCAAATTTTTATAGACGACAAATAAAACATTTTTATATTTTATCTTGCTGACACGATTAGGTCTCTAGCTGTCTAGCTGCCTACCTACCTACACAGTTTTTTTTATAGTTAGTCTTAACTAGAAATTAATCTTCTCTTCAACTACATACTATGAAAAATTTTACATAAATCAAATTAGGTAATGTACATTTAATTGATTTGATAAATAAGTAGCAATTACAAGTAAAGAGAGTTTAAAATTATGTTCTTTGCTTATGATGAGAGAGGACCGAGGTGAAAAAACAAAAAAAAATTAAAAGGTTACGTCGACGAAACTTCAATAACTGGAAAGTTAAACCAACTTTTAAAAAATTATGTATACTAGAAAATTTTACAGGTAGAAATAACTTAAATGTCTAAATTAATTAGGTAATTCATGCGTAGGTTACAATCCGTTGGTACGTGTCTCCATATCGTTTGATAGCGCTCTCTCGTATAAATGATTATTTAAAGCCAAAATTTATCAATAAAATGATTCTATCTGGCGCTGATAACGAGCAGAAATACGTAAATAAGTATACGTAAGTACTTGTCAACAATACCTCCAACATTGATTTTTAAAGTTCCGTATCGATTAATTTATACATAATATGTATAAGATAACGCTTATAGACCTCCATTCAATGTCCCCGAACTTACATTTTCAGGACAAAATAGGCTCACAGTTGTTTTGTTGTGTAGGTACATTGTAGGTTGTGTAGGCACGTTTGCATAGAATGTATGTTAAACCAATTCTGTTCTATTTAGGTAAGTAAACTCATTAACAACTAAACAAAATCAAAACATTTACGTTTACTATGCTAACAGGATTGTTGTTGAATATGACTTCGTACAAATTGTAACTTTAAAAGTCTGCTCTTATTTTGTACACCCTGTGCTAGTCCCTTTTCGCCACGTTAATAAATAGCCGAACTATGTTGGTCTACTTTATTGAATTGACCGCGTGTAGGCACGTGTATTGGGATACGTGCGTGCGTTGGAAGAACCCAGCTTAGTTTACGGTACAGTAAAGTTGCTAGGCTGATGTCACTGAAATAAAAGTTTTACGATTCGCTTTGCCTTCCTCGTAAACTGGCCGAGCGTCAACGTAAACTAACCTAATTTCGGCGCGAACTCCGCGCGGTTTGCGACGCATCATAACTCCCTTAATATTGCTAATATATGTTTCGGAGGCACAAAACAACCGCAACCTCCTCTAACTGCTTATGCGGGGAATGTCTGTTTTGGAAATATTTTCCGGGGCCAATCTACTCTCGTTTTATGTGAAGAAAAATGTACACTCGGCCTACTTTCGTGTTGTAGTTTATAAGTGAGTTGATGGGACCTCTTGTACTTAAGTATTTCAACATAATAAGAAGCTGTACTGTCTGTGCTTAGATCTTTTAAACTACGCAACGGATTTTGATGCGGTTTTCGTCAATAGATAGTGATTTAAGAGAAAAGTTTCGCACATCCGTGTGAAGCCGGGGTAGGTCGCTGTAAGTAAAGGGCAGCTGTGAGATAAAGGGGTGGATTTGCATGTGCTGTTCATACATTTTTTGTCTATATGTACCTACCTACCAATAATGAGAAAAGTGACAAACCTAGTGCGCTAACACTGAGCTGTACCTACTTATACCTACCTACATAGGTAGGCAGGTATTTGTTGTTCCTAGCCCGTCATTAATACATAAATAAATATGTCTAATCTATTTATTTTGTATTATCAGCTTTGATTATTATTAAAAGATTAACCAAATGCGCTGTTGCACGCAATATCTACACGATAATATATTTTAATGTACAAGACTACTCGCAGCTAGCTAGTAGATTTAGAATTTATCAAAACTAATCAAAACAAATAAAAACCTCATAAAAGTGAAACTCAAAAACCTCGTCAAATCTAGCTAATTACAAAGGTAGATTCGCTTAGTGTGGCCCGTCCCGTAAAATTTTTATACTCATTCGCATTTGACAATAAAACATCAATAACATTGAGTTTTAATAGAGGCCTTATTAGGCGAACCTACCTTACAATTTCTCATTAACAAAAGCTGTAAAATAAACCAATTAATAGACTAATTGCCCGTTACACCCTCCATTACCTGCGTCATGCCTTGCACTAGCCAAGGATTCATGTTTCACTTGTAATTTTCTTGGCAAGAATTGGTAACGTAATTAACTAATTATGTTAAAGAAAACGATATTTTTTTGTGTAGTTTGTTTCGTGTTTTTGGGCGATGGGAGCCATGCAATGACTAAATATCCACAGCTTTATAGAGATTATGTCTACCATACTTTAAGTAAAAATGGGCAAGAGATGTTCTTCTCGATTAACATACGTATGTAAAACCAGTTTTATGTTTGATCAGAAGCACTTTTAGCTTCTTACAAATACCAAAACAAATCGACAGCACATCAACTTACTCGTACCTATCACAAAAATTATAAATCCGAAGATTATTGTTTTTTTTACCTAAAAATCAGGATAGGTTGATATTCTGTCGAGTGTGACACCTCTATCAGATGAAAAACGATCTATTACCAATGCAATTATTTAAGTCCTCTTTTATTTCAGATCCATTATGCGCTGATAAGAGAGGAGAGTGCATACCACGCGGCAAATGTGTGGGCAAAAAAATTATGTATTTTACTCGGGTTTGCTACAGGCGCGACTTGGTCTGCTGCTACGATGACACCGTCAAGAACCCGTTGGTAGCCTCACCTACCTATAGTACTGTAACTGTCACACCTGTGGGTGAGATATAGCTACATTCTAAATGTAATTTTTCTTACGATAAATGGGAAAAATAAAACATGTATAAACATTTCATTGTTATTTAAAAAAATACAAATAAAGCCAATGTGTCTTTTTATGTGTTTTAAAATAATTTTGTATCCTATAACTTGATATCTGTCTTATGAATAACCATAAAGTTTCATTAAGTATCAACGCCCAGCCTAAACACTAATGATAGAGTTTAGAAATTTTGCGAAATTTCAATTTAAATGTTGCTTTAATACTCTTAAAGCTAATATTGGTTTTTGCGCCTCGAGCTATTTCCAAATACTTCTTCCCGCAAGATACAATATCTCGTCTTGTTTCAACTTGGCCAGGACGAGGTCGAACAATTAGAGGAAATGAGCCCCTGATGCGGCGAAAGTTCAATTCGAAAAGTTTTTCCAATCAGACTTAAGGTCGGGCGAGTGTTGATTCTATCTCGGTCATCACTTGATTCATGTGATCTCGTTCACATCCAGCCACGGATCTATGCTATTTCTAACCGGGGCAAAATTTTACTTGTTATATCGTTTGAGATGCCTAAAAAAAGCTCGACGCGTTCATAACTTTCATAATATGCGAGTATTTGTGTCCAAAAAAACAACTGGGCATTTCGTTATCGATTTTTTTGAATAACACATTGCGCTTTGTGAAACAATTTTTTTCTCTTCCATTCTTTCCATTTGGCGCCCCTCTTAGGCTGCCGCCCGGGGCAGGCGCCCTGGATTGGCCCCCTAAATCCGTGCCAGCATTCAGCGGTTTTCTAGGTTATTGTGGTCCGTTGATTAATCCTAGGGCTAAGTTAGTAAGTTGACTACGAAATTCCAAACGTCTTGAAATTGGTGGTGAAACTGGCCACAGAATTATAAGAAAACGTTATTTAAAATAACAATTTATTTAGAGCAGGTTTGTGATTTGAGTTAAGCAGTTGTTACAACCCAACAGAAGAAGAAGAAAGTTTGACTGTAACTTCTGTAATACTTTGTTATTCCCGGGGTAAACAAAATAGTTTATTTTATGCCAATCTGTACTAATGTGAAAACATTTTCAGAATCGGATTGGTTGTTCTAGTGATTTCCTCCAACAAACATGTTTACAAAAATACAGGTGATTTCTTTACATTTCATATTATTAATTATTCAATAATGCCAATTTAGAGT